CAATTCCATGCCTCAAAAACATTGAGCACAATTGGAGAGCTTAGTCACATTAGAAATGTGGGTTTTAAGAATCTAGATCAGCTTGAAACTTCTTAACTTACTTACAACTTGACCAATTCTGATCTAAGTTTATAAGCCACCTGGCACTTGAGTTACTCTTTGAAGTAGATCCTTTGGATCAATTCTATGTAAATAATTTGGAATTGGAAGCAAATTATTGTTGCCAACAAATTGTTGTAACGGTTTTTATTATATTGAAAGAAAATTCTATGGCAGCTTCCCTTTGAAATTCGACTGCCAACAACAACAATAAACAAAATCAACGGAAGTTTATTTAAGCGTTTGCGATAAGTCGCGTGAGACAGAGACAGCGACAGAGAGAGAGAGAGAGAGTTGTTGTTGTTGTGCTCTGTTAATGAGTTGATGCACGGTTGGGTGGTGCACAAGGAGCCAAAGAAGCCGCAAAGGCAAATGCAAACGCAAACGCAAACGCAAAAATATAAATAAAAACCACTTCACATCACTCCACTTCAGTTGCCTCCATTCCCTCCTTGCCGCTCAATCCGCTCCAGCTGCAATCCAAATGTGCCGCTCTTTTCCTTTGATTTGACAAGGTCGTTATTGATTATGTTGCATTTTTTACTGACTCTCTGTGTGTGTGTGTGTGTGTGTGTGTGTGTTTGTGTATGTTTGTGTAGTGGAATGTGGGTGTGTTGTGTTTGTGATTTGTTAATGGCAAGAGAAATGCAGTGGAAGAAAACATGCATGACAACTTATCGCTTAGCAAATCTTCAGCAATAATAGGAGAAAAGCTTGTCACAATTTTGTGGAACTCAACATATCAAGTTATATTAAATGGCATTCAATCTGGGGTATTAAAATTATATTAAACGACATTCCATCAATATTCGAGATGGTATTTTGTTCAATATGATAAGTCTCAAAGACATTTATCGAATTTGAATAAATGATTAAATTTAGTAATAGCTTATGCAGGTGTTGTTTTGAATTAATGGATCATTTCGCTAATAGCAACTAATAACATTCATCTATAAATCAGAAATACAAGTTTTAAATACATATTTGACATATGCGATTGATTTAATTTAATTTATTACACACTCAGTTTGACGCTTATAAATAATTATTGGCCGTAAATCGTTTGCAGATTTGCTAATGCAAAAACTTGTAACAATTTATAAGCGATTAATTCACTTAACCTGACACATATATAATACTACTATTAGCTGCACAAGCTGCAAGCATTTTATTATAAATAAATTAACACACACACACAGCACCAGCACCACCACTACCACCTGGCAAGCAAACACTCACAATCAAATCAAATTAATTCAAGTCACCCCACGGGGCGTATGCTTAATTTTCATAAAAAGCTTAGCGCCAGCAGAGACGCCAACTGCGGCAACGGCAGCGACAGAGGCAAAGATAGAGACAGCGACAGCGACAGCGACAGCGCCACTTGACTATTCGCAGCAATTAATAAAAACTGACAATTTAATCGTCGCGACAAGTAGTTGGCTGCCAGCCAGCCCCCAGACAGAGCAGTCGCCCAAACTCAGTGCCCGGCCAGAGGAGAGCCGCATAGATAAAACGGGGGGAGGGGATGGGGCAGCAGCAACAGCAGCAGCAGCAGCAGCAGCAAAGGCGCCTTTGTCGGCGCAAGAAATCGGAATACAGGCAACTGAACAAAAAAGAAAAAAAAAGAGTCGCTACAAGCCAAAAGCAAAATATTAATAAGCAGTGCCCGCAATTAATAGCGCAACTTAAGACGCTATATAGGGTAATTAAGCGGCGCTTGTGAACATTTTTTCCTTTGCCGGAGCCGACGGCGGCGGCGACGACGACGACAGAGCAGCTGCTGCTCTTGTTGTTGTTGTTGTTGTCGTTGTCGGCGCTGCCGTTTTTTCTCTTAACAGGTAAACAACAAGTGCAACGTACGCTCGGATCCAAGTATCTCTATCTTCAGTGTCTCCACTTGTATCTGTGAGTTACTTGCCTAGCTGTGTGTGTGTGTGTGTGTGTGTGAATGTGTGTGATTGTGTTTGTGTGTGTTTGTCAATGTGGGCACGCGTTCTGTTTACTCAAGCGTAAATCCGCGCACACACGTAATTTTGTTATTTTTGTTTTTGTTTTTGTTTTTCTTTTTCTTTTGGTGGGTCGTTGTTAACATTAGAAGATCGTAGGCGCAGCCCCAAAAACTATATCGTCAAGCATGTCAACCAAACGAGAGTTGCTCGAATAATTGGCTTATGATCCCCATTATCCCATAACAAAAATCAACAAAAAAGGAATACGTTTTTAGTTATGATTTGAGGTCTAGAATAATACTACAATTGTGGCTGACAACATGATTCTTGTTCATATGAAAATGTTAACCTAAGAATGGTATTCCTAATTAGCTCTAATCTTTCCAGTAACATAACTTTGTCAAAAGTCAAACTACTTTTAAAAGGAATACGTTGAGCTTTCGCAGAATAATTCACTTACAGCTGAGAACATAATTCTCACAGAAGCTTAAATAAAATGTTAACCAAAGAAAGGAATTCCCAATTAGTTGTAATCTTCTCAGGGCCATAACTCTGTTAAAACTCAACTGATGTCTACAAGCAATACATTTTTATGTGCGGTTTGTCCTCTAGAAAAACTTATACGTTTGCAGTCCAAAACACGATTTCAAGTCGAGAGATTCAAGCAATAAATGCTGCGTACTTATTGAGTAACTCTCTGCGATGCCGCTGTTAGCGTTAGAATTCTTGTCAATTTGTTAAGCGGCAAACATCAGAGGTGCTTTGGTTTTTTTTTTTTGGTTTCTTGAATTTTCGTTGGCAGTGGGGGGGGAAGACCCCGCAGCAGACGCGCTGACTGACAGGCAGCAATCAAAACAGCAGCGATAGCAAAACTGGCAACAACAAAAAAAAATCACACTGATTGAAGGAAAGTCGCTCGATTTGTGTACCAAGCACGAGGAAGAGCAGCGAGCAACTGGAAAAGCTGAAGCAGCTTAAGGCTATAGCTGTTTGGCTTAAAGCTGAATGCGCTGCTACCGTTACACGCTGTTGCCGCCGGCCAAGTTCGAACTTGTTCGAACAACTGGCCAAGTTATGTGTGCATGTGTGTGAGTCTATGTGTGTGTGTGTGTGTGTGTGTATCCATAATTGTTCTGTTGCTGTTTTTTTTTTTTGTAGGCCTCCTCTCAAATTGTCCGTGTCATTTACATTTTGTCTGCAAATTGTCGTTGCTAGCGGCACAGGCGGCAAAACATCAAAGCCCAAAATAAACATTGATTGAAGATTTCTTTACGATTTCTGAATGGTTATTTATGCAGAGACAGCGGCGCAGACAGGCGGACACAATTGACAGACTGACACACTGAGACACTAAAATCGTTGCCTTTGGACTTTGTTCTTGTTGTTGTTGTTGTTGCTGTTTTTGTTTTTTGGCGGCACGCGTTTTGTTGTTGTTTTTGTATCATTTACAAATTGCTGGAAAATAGCGTAAAATCAAAATAGAAACAACAACAACAACAACAACTAATCACCGCTGCTCATTTTGATTGATGTGCACAGCCGACCTTAAGTTCAAAGCCAAGAACAACAACAAAAACAACTAAATATAAAAACTTAAACAGAAATAGAAACAGAAAATAGACGTCGACGTCAGCGTCTGCGTCGACGCCACTGATTACCACGCGTCAGCGGCCATGACAATGTGTGTGCGTGCACTCAGAAAAATGTAGATCATGTTGTACTTAAGTCAAGTGCAATCTTTGTCAAAATCCGGCCAAGGTCAAAGATTATACAACCGCAAACGAAAATCTTGTTTCCCCAAAATAGAATATGATTTTTCTCATTTCAAGAGATTTGTTTAAGCAAGGAACTTGATTTCTTAACGAAAGATAAAATGTGCATGCTTTTTTCTCTTTCTAAATGAAAACCTTGATTAGTTAAAGAAAGATATTTACTTTCTTAAGTCCTGATGTCATCTTAAAATAAAATCAGCCTAAATTAAGAAGTTTAGATTGTATAAATTTCAATACGATTTTAGCAGCGTATTTCTCTAAGTGTATGTGTTACGTGCGTGTGTTTGTTGACTGACAGGGTTTGCCCACAGGGCGTATGATTAATATTAAAATATGTGCATGTAATAACAGAGCAATAACTTCTCTAGCCATGTTTGACTAAATACTTTTCTCTTCAAGCCAAGCGCTCTCTCTCTCTCTCTCTCTCTCTCTCTCTTGCTCTCGTTACAACAACAAAAACAGTGCACAACGTAACACAATAACAACAACAAAAACAACAATAACGTAACGAAATGCGCGGCAAAAATTTCTTTGATCTTATCGCAAAGCTTCTTGCTCGCATTTTGATCAAAGCAAGTTTTTCCGCCAAAAAAGAAAAAAAAAGGAAAAAAAACATACAACAGGCAACAACAATAACAGAAAACCACAAGAGCAACAGGCGGCCGCAGCATGAGCAGAACAAGAGCAAAAGCAACAGCGAGAGAGAGAGCGAGAGAGATAGAGATAGATCAGGAGAGAGCGCAGAGTTGTGTTACTTACGAGTACATGTTTAACGACGACAAAAAGTTGTGAATGAGTTTAACGCTGACAATGCCTGAAAGAGAGCCAGAGAGAGCCAGAGTGAGAGAGAGAGCAGGGAGAGCACGTGCATCTGATAGGCTGAGTTCAGCTTAGCAGCTCTCTTTGAGAGCACACCGTCACAGGCTGGAATAAAAGTAACTGTTTAGGCGCCAAGTGTAAATTGCGATGCATGATTACTGTTAATATTTATACGATTTATATTTAATATTTATTTACAAATTGATGACTTAGCAATAAATGCTAAACGATAATTAAACTAGATCTTCAGCTCGTATTTAATATATATTTAATGTGTTATCACAACTAAGCCACAACTTTGATTAACTCTCTTGCAGACGACGCCAACAGCGACGACGACGACGACGCCGACGTCGGCGCCATCGTTAAGTTGTCAGTTGTCGCTGCTGCTGCTGCTGTTGCTGCTGATTGCGCTCAGTGTGTTGCCGCTCGCCAACAGCAACAGCATCAATAGCAGCAGCAACAACAACAACAGCAACAACAACAACAACAACGACGACAACATGGATACATTTGGCGTTGGAAAGACGCCACTGGAACTGGAAGAGGAGCAGGCGGCGTCCAATGCGAATTCGCTGCATCAACGCACACCGCTGGAAAGCGCAAGCGGCAACAGCAACAGCAAAGGCAACTATATGATCATGCAGCCAGCAGAAGTGGGTGATGCTGGTGGTGCTGCTAGTAGGGATCACAGTCGCTCGCTGAAGCGCGCCTCGCTGACAAACTCGAGCATGACTTGCAACGATGGCACCCATGCCGGCTTCTATCTGCGCAAGCAGCCCAACTCCAAAAAGTGGGTCGTCTTCCTCGAGGGCGGCTGGCATTGCTTTGACAACCGTTCGTGCCGAGCGCGCTGGATGCGACTGCGTCATCTGATGACCTCCTCCCAGTGGACTGAGACACGAGATGGTGAGCAATAAACTTCATCTTTAGCATAGCAAAGTTGGCTTAAACTAATTTAAAATTCTCTCTATTACAGTTGGTGGCATTCTCTCTCCGCACGCTGAGGAGAATCCCTATTGGCACAATGCGAACCATGTGCTGGTGCCTTACTGCAGCAGCGACTCCTGGTCGGGCACCCGCATCGAGCCGGATACACGAGATCGCGAGAACAGCTGGCGCTTTATGGGCGCCCTGATCCTGCGTCAGGTGATTGCCGATCTGATTCCGCTTGGACTGGGACGTGTTGCTGGCGGCGAGCTGCTGCTGGTGGGCTCCTCCGCCGGCGGTTTGGGTGTCATGCTCAACTTGGATCGCATACGCAACTTTCTGGTCAATGAGCGCAAGTTGCCGGTGACGGTGCGCGGTGTCAGCGATTCAGGTTGGTTTCTCGATCGCGAGCCCTACACGCCCTCGGCGGTCGCGTCCAGCGAGGCAGTGCGTCAGGGCTGGCGACTGTGGCAGGGCCTGCTGCCCGAGGACTGCACCAAGGTCCATCCCGCCGAGCCGTGGCGCTGCTACTTCGGATATCGCCTGTATCCAACGCTAAAAAGTGAGTTGACCACAACTACAAATATATACGAATAAAATAATAAACTTCATCCTTTCCTGCTTGCAGCACCACTATTCGTGTTCCAGTGGCTGTTCGACGAGGCACAGATGAGCGCCGACAATGTGGGTGCGCCGGTGACGCCGCAGCAATGGAACTATATACATGAGATGGGCGGCGCCCTGCGCTCCTCGCTGGACAATGTGAGCGCTGTGTTTGCGCCCAGCTGCATTGGACACGCGGTGCTCTCGAAACGCGACTGGGTCAATCTCAAGATCGATGACATCTCGCTGCCGGCAGCGTTGAGGTGCTGGGAGCACTCCACGCGGCAGCGACGCAAGCGGCACGACAACAAGCTCAAACGGTCGACGGAGGCAACGACAACGACGACGGCGTTGCATCCACATTCACATCCACATCCGCATCTGCATCCACATCCGAATGCGAACGGGAATAGCCAAAGACATCAGCAGCGGCATCAGCATCAGCGTGTGCAGAAGCTCAACCAGGTGGAGCAGCGCAAGAGGAATCATCTCAGCAAGGAGCAGCGTGAGGAGCGCAAGCGTCGCCGTCAGGAGCGACGCAAGCAGCGACGCCGACAACAGCAGCAGCAGCGCAAGCGTGAAAATGAAGCCAACAACAACAAGAACAACAACAGCAACAACAACAGCAACCACAACAGCAACAACAACAGCAACAATAAGAACAACAGCAATCACAGCAAGTCGAAGCGACGTCCACAGCTGACTGCCGAGCAGCAGCTGCAGCGCAAGCAGCAGCGCCAGCTGCGACGCAAACAGCAACAGCAACAGCAACAACAGCAGCAGCAGCACCAGTTGCAACAGGAGCAGCCAATGGAGTCGCAAAAGCGACGCGCCTCCAACAATGCCGCCAAACTGAAGCCAAACCAGCGAGTGCCGCGCGTGCCAGAGAAATGCAATCTGCGTCTGCTCGAGCGTTGCAGCTGGCCGCAGTGCAACCATTCGTGCCCCACGCTCACGAATCCGCTAACCGGCGAGGAGATGCGCTTCCTCGAGCTGCTCACCTCATTCGGCTTGGACATTGAGGCGGTGGCAGCAGCGCTGGGTGTCGATATGCACACCCTGAATAACATGGAGCGAACGGAATTAGTTAATCTGCTCACGCAGCAGGTGAGCTGAAAGGAAGCAGAGCGTACACTCAGAGAAAATGCACAGAGGAATTGCTGCTAAATTCTAGAAGTAGCTGCTTTTTGTAGTCTCGAAAAATCCAAAATATTCGACTGTTTCTGGCTAAACTTAAAGTACGATTTGTTAAGGAACGAAATAACTTGGAAAACATATTTTAAATTCTAAGATGCCCAAGTTCTTAAATCGAACACTGAACAATCTTAAGACAAAACTAAAGCACATTAATGCAAGCAGTGAATTTCTTAAGTGGTAGAAAAATGTGTTCAATTCAAGAATTTTTGTTAGCGAATTGAAATATTCAGATTACTCAAGTACTTGAAAGTTTTGAACTAAGAACAGCGTTTTCTCTGAGTGTAATGTAAGCTGCTGGATCTGTAAATAGTTGGCCTGTATATAGATATAGCCATAGACTGTATAGCCTATCCACATTATGTATATATAAATCGAAAACTTAAATCGGAGCAATTCCAATTCCTAAAAAGACATACGCATAAATACCCAGTAATTAAGCAGAATTTATTTATATAAAACACACACACACATATATATATATACACACATATACATATATGTATATCCAATACATATATATATATATGAAGATATATACTCGTATTCGTATTCATTCGCATCCAACTTTCATGCGTAACGAGAAACTAACACAAATGCAACCACAAGACTGTTTTTTATGTTTTTTTTTTTAAATATTGTAATTAATTAAAGAAAACACTAAAGTACATAATTTATTTATAAATTATTTGATAAGGCGGTAGCTGTTTTAAGTTTTGTAGACTGTTTCAATTGCCCGATGCCAAGTTTGATTGTTTTGTTCTATAATTACCAATTATCAATTACCAATTACCAATTATCAATTACCAATTACTTAATTAACAAATTACAAATTACCTACCTCAAGCGAAAAGAAATGAAAAGAAATTATTAAACAGCTGCCTTGAATACCATTGCGTACCTGTGCAAATTACAACAAATAATACTTAACATTATTTATTTACATATTTGTATTTTAGCAACATTTTTTATTTTATTTTATTTTTTTTAATTATGCTAAATGCCCGCATTCCGTTCAAAATAATTGTACTTAAAGCATATACACAAAATACTTTTAATTAATGGCAAATGAAGCAACAAAAAAAAAACGAACAAACTCGAATATTATTTATATGAAATTTACGTGTTTAATCGATTGAACAACAACAATGAATAACATGTAATCAAAAATTAATTGCTAGCCTGTACAGAACCGGTTAAAGTTAAGCCTAAGAATTGTTGTACTTAAGATATGCATAAGTCAATAGTTTAAGATCAAAACACAAAAGAAAAAAAGCTATAATTTCATTGTTACACTAAAACACAGAGAAAAACGCAAAAAAAGATAGAAAAAAACAACAAAAAAAGAAGCAAGAACCACAACAAATAAATGAGAAAAAATTTGTAAAATTATAAAAAAAAGAAGAAAATTGTTTACTTATTTAAAGAGTTTTCTATGAGGATTTACTCTTTCAAGAATATATTTTATTCTCATTTTTGCTCTACCAAATTTCGAGTTTTTCTTTTGGAGAATATCTATAATATTCAGCTAGATTCAGATTCGTTAACAAAAATATTTCTCACACAACGAAAAAGAAACTATTCTCATCTCTAATTCTCTCTCTCTCTCTCTCTCTCTCTCTGTGAGTATCTCGCCATTGATTAATTTGACTTAATTGAATGAGGCAACAGTTTGCCAGCGACCAAAGCTGAGCTCAAAAATAATCCGATTCGCTCAAATTTGTTGTGGGCTGTGTGCATTTGTGTGTGGTGCAAATTGAGCCACAAAGGTTACAAATTGTGGCTGGCCATTAATTCAGCGCCAGCCATCGAGCAATCAACACGTGAAAACTAATAATCAAAAAGAGAGAAAACTGAGGCGCATTAAGTCATTTTAGATGTGGAAAATTGTGTTGTCGCTGCTGCAGTTGCAACTGCTTGTGGCGCCACCCGCAGGTGAGTGCTCTGTCTGAGTTACGCCTGCAACTAGAACTCTAAACCAGCCCGCATGCAGCCAGTTGTCCCATCTTTCTAACCATTTCGCTGGCGGGCAAAACTCTAACGGAGGCTTGTCTGGAGGTCAATTGGGGACCGGATTGCTTTGCCCCACCCGAGTGGGTGGGCATCTATCGTCAAGATCCATCCGTGTCCAATTTTCAGCCCGAGCTGCGCATCGATGGCATCAGGAATCGAACGGGTAAAAGGCAAACTCCGATTAAGCTGGGAAAACTGCATTTTCCCGGCGGCTGGAATCGTCCCCAAGCCGAGCAGACAACGGCTACCAAGTATCCCAAGGGCAAGTGTCTGCCCTACTATGTGGCCAGCTATAATGGCAGCGAACTGCTCACCATTGACTGCCTCAAGATCCAGCCCAATTGGCTGGCCCATCTCAAGGATGCGGCAAACATGCCGCTGAAGCGTCTCTTTCTGCCCGGCACCCATGCCTCGGGCGCCTACATAACCAACTACAGCAAGACCAAATCTCTGCTCGTCAAGGACTACCTGGTTGCCCAGCATTTCGATGTGTGGTCACAGCTAGTCTTTGGCATACGCTATCTGGATCTCAGTGTGGGGTAAGCTTCAACTGGCAGGGCAAAAGGGCAGCAGACTCTTCTTGGCAGTGTAGAAAATGCTGCACGCACTCAGAAAAAAAGAACGTCCTAAATTTCTCCTCATTGTTACACAGAGAGTAAATTTCTGAAAATGCAATTTCTCCAAGCAGCAGAGCTAATCCTTGCCACTTCCCCTTCCCGCAGCTATAGAAACATGGACAGCAGCAACGAGGCGGACAACTTTTGGGTGGTCAATGAGAATATGTTCATCAATCCGTTGAGCGATGTGCTCCGCGATGTGCGTCGCTTTGTGGAGCTGTCGAATGAGTTAGTTGTGCTGGACTTTAGTTCGTTTCCCATTGGCTTCTACAAGCATCCGGAGATCTACAGCGGTGTCTATCACCTGCTGCGCCAGGAACTGGGCGATGTTCTCTACGAGCGAAATGTTAGCCTCAGTGAACATTGTGCGGATCGCAGCTTTAATGATTTGCGCGCTGTGAACAGGCAGGTGCTGCTCCTGTTTCCCACTGAGGAGCTGCCCTATCCGGAGAATGGTCAGTAAGCGAAGCTAACACATGTCTCAGTGATTGACATGGTTTTCTTTTTGCAGAATCTGTTTTACTTTGCAGTTCCTGGCAACGTTTCAGCACCAGCTATATGAATATTTCGCAGACTTTGGACTATATGCGTCTGTTGTTCAGCAAGAAACCCGATTCACCGGTGCAGGACGATGGTTGGATATTTCTGGCTGTGAAGAGCATCGAACAGGCGCTCAACAATCACAAATTGCAGACGGCCAAAGAGCGAGCGGCATTAATTAATCCCAAGGTGAATCAGTGGCTCAACGGGCCCTGGGGCATAAATGCGAATGTTGTCGCCATGGATTACTTTAGTAATACCAATCTGATCGATGTCGCCATTCATGTCAATGTGCACAAGGCATTTTTAGCGGCCAATGACAAATTTATTAATCTCGAAATTCTGAGTCGCCGTTAAGTACTCTTTTTAAATATGTAATAAAAGTCACAATAAACTATTTATGTTGAGTTGGCAATAATACGTATTAACCTCATCCATTAAGTTGGCAGCACTTGGCGTTAGCCAGTGCACACACCAAGCAGTTGAGCAGCAAGCAGTGCACCGCCAAGCAGTTAAGAAAGAACACATTTTATTGGCAACACTTGGCGTTTAGCCAATGCACACACCATACAGCTCTGTAGTAACAGGAAGCAGTGCTGGAAAGCAGTTCAGAAAGAAGAACGATTTTCGTTATTTCTAAAAAATAAAACAGATTTATTTATATTAAATTTATATTTTCTTTATAATATAGGCATTTTCATAATGTAATATTGACTGCCAGTAATTGCGAATATGTGATGCACCTTAAAATATATTTATAATACCATATTTCACTTTATATTCCTCCTTTTGAATTGATTTTTTATCCAAGTTTTTTAAGAACTTTCGATTGATAATTTTGTGTTTTATTTTCGCAGTTAACTTAAAATATTGAGCTGACTTTTTAAAGATAAATCAAAATTAAATATTTTTAAAATACATATTTTAAATTAAAATTAAAATGATTAAATTGCCTGTTACTTCTAAATGTAGTTATTAATTGCCACCAATTAAAAACATATAATAAACTTAAAAATATATTTCACATGAATTCAATTTGAATACAAGTTTTTATGAGCTTTCGATTGCGTAATTCTGTGTTTTTATTTACTTTGCTCATTCTACGAAAAATGGCGTTGACGCAAACAAAACTAGATATTATATAAACATATATATAGAAAAGTATCGCAGCTGACTCAATTCATGTGAACAATTGGTGAACAATGGTCTTAAAACAAAAAACATGATTGCACTTTTAAATAGTGTTTACAAATGAGTATTTCAATTAGGCCATCTACTCTAAAATCTACAACAATTTTGGCAAAAAAATGACATCATCATTTATATATATATACACATCTGTTCATGAACATATGGAAAACCATATACAGATGCACACACAAACTTTTTACGTATACGTAATTTATCACTCATTTGTCAGACAAATGACAATAAAAAAACACTCGCTAAATATAGGATGAGGCATGTGATATTTGTATGCAACGAGAGTATTTTAAATGTGTTACGAAATTAAAAGAGGCGTTCTCAAAAGTAGACAATTAAAGCCATATGAATATTTAACAAAAGCCATTGTTTTATTTTGTTGATCAAACCAAATTTAAATTGAAAAAGGAAAATGAATTGAGTTGAGTTGAATACGAAATTGAAGATTAAGCTTTTGCTGAAAGGGTAACTAGTCTTGGGCGAGCCTGACTTGTTTCAAGTCAGAGCTTTCAGTGGCGACCTTCAATTTTCCAAAGTGTTAATTAAAAGCCACACGCAGCTCAAACTCAGCACAAAATAGAGCAAAGATTTGCGTATCGATTAAATATTGATTTCTCTTCTTCGCCCATTGAAAAACTCTTTCTTTTATTTATTCAAAAATAGGAATCACTAAGTAAACGAATATGCAACAATAGCAATGATTCAGGCGCTGACTTCACCCAGTTGTATTTAATTCATTCGATGACAAACCGTTGCTAATTGCCAAAATGCCCAACTGTTTGCAGAGCAGCTACAGCGACTACCTTGGCTAAGAGATTTGAAACCGGATCTGACTGAATCTGAATGCAGTCAAACCAATTGAAATGCACTGCAAATGAATTTGTTGTTAGTTGATATGGCAAATGTTGAGTTTTTTTTCCAAGACTTCAAATTCCAAAGACGCCAATTGGTTTAACCAGCAGTTAGCCGAGTTTGCAATGATGATGATGATGATGATGCACTGTAGAATGCATTTCTGCAGTTGAACGAACTTTGTGGTACGTTTTTCTTTTATCTTCGAGACGATAACAAACCTGTCCAAACTGATAAGAAGCTGAAACAAAGATCGAGGAACGTGCTAATTCAATTCAGTAAACTCAACTCAGACAGTGCCTTTGTTGATGGATTCAACGAACCCAAAGCAAACGTGGCACGGTCTCGTTAAATTGCGAATATTGAGGATATCAACACCTTTTGCTCTTGCCCAACAAAGAATTAAGAAACAAATGCAATTTTTTTCGAGTGGCTTTTGTTATTTATTTTATTTGCAATTATATTTCAATTTTTAGTGGTGTAGGAAAATTATTATTAAACCCAACTGACTACTTATTTTAAAACTTAAAATGTAATAGATACCGATAGACTTTAACTTGATATTCTCACTGTCTTTAAATTGCGAGACTAACCAATATTATTTTAAAAGTTACGATGCATGTATGTATGTGGTATGTGGCAACCTCAATGACGCACAAAGAGCCACAATCGCGTGGTGCGCTTATCATAAATATATACACATTTTATTTACTGATACTACCAAAAGTTAATTTAAAGATTTAGATGGGTATTAATAATATATTGTGCTCTTTTAATAAGTCTGCAATCTAAGAGACTACAAGTCAGCAAATTGAGGCCTTATCATAGTTTTAATGCAATTGCTTACCTTATTTCGAGAAAATGAATTCGGAACCCAGTCCGCCCACTAAGGCATGCTTTATGGATAGATTTATGTTTATATGTTTAAATTGTACATGAATTGATTAATATTATTACAGTTCAAATTTAATACAAGCTTTACATACTACACACTTAGTTATTTACTTGAATTGATTAATATTATTTTAGTTCTAATTGAATCAAGCTTTATTTTGTGTTACGGCCAGCTGAAGGATCAGTTTAGATCACCAACAGCTGGCCGTGCCACGCTCTCGGCAATCCGGCAATATTCTGTGTTCGCGGGAAGTGTTCCTGCTGATAAGTTTTTAATTTACAACGACCGTCTAAGAAAAATAAACACGCATAACATCGGTGAAGGGCTTCCGGCACAGTGGACACTTTGTCACGGACGAGGCGCACTTGGCGCAGGCCACCACATGGCCGCAGGGCAGAAATGCCGTATTGTATTCCTCGGCATAGCAAATCTTGCACAGTTTCTCCTCGCGTACCAGCGTCTTTTCTCCTGCAGCGCCTTCGCTGCAGATATCTTGAGACATCATTTTCTCGTGGATGCGGGAGGCAGCTGTGGATGCTGCAGCTGGCACCACATCGCCACACTCCATTGTAGCCGGGATAGCGGCAGGTGAGGCAGCAGCAACCGCAATTGGAGCTGTGTCTGATGCAGCAGTAACAGTGCTTGTTGCATTGGTTGAGAGTAGCTGCTGCTGTTGCTCCTCGTCGTCGTTGCATTCTGGCTTGTGGACAGCATCCTGTTCGCCTTGCCGCGCTGCCGCCGCCTTCTCGGCCACAGCATCCACAAAGCGCTGACCCATAATGAGCTTCACATAACGACACTGTTTCAGCCAGAGGGCATGCTGTTCCCAGGGTTCGTCCTGATCGTCCCAGTCCTTTAAGCCGCCGCCGCAACTGAAACAGCGAACGCGATCGCCAACGCCCGTATAGTAGAAACCCGCCTCGGCGAGCTGTTGGGGCTTTTGTTTCATGTTGAGTGGCCAATCCGCGAAACTGCGCAAACGAGCTGTTTCGATAGCATACTCGGGAGATGCGGGATAAAAGGAGCCACCGCTTGAGGCACCCGCCTGTGGACGACTGCATGGTTGCAACGATGTAAAAACTTCGGCTGGTGTGGAGGAAATCGCGCTCGTCGACTGCATGTCCGATTGCCGACCCTCCGAGTAGGCGGTGTCGTGGACCTCTAAAACCGAATTGTTGGAGCCACATATGTCATAGCTGATGGGTGGCAGAATGGCGTCGAGTGCCTCGGCACTGATGGGTATGTTGTTGGTGGGGCGACGACGCAGCAGAGGACAATTGGGGGACCAGCGTAGGTGCTCAGATACAGGTTGATCACCGGGTTCCCAGCGACCGATTTCCACTTCACAAAAATAGCACTTGACCTTGTCGTCCTCGTTGGTGAAGTACATGCCCGTTTTGGCCAACGTATGACAGTCCAGAAAGGGCACTGGCCAATTTGTATATGTCTTCAAGCGTTCGTCCTCGCGCTGATATTTCTCATTCATTCTATACAGTTTGAGCAATCTTGACGCGTTCGTACTATCGTCCACTTGATCCGATGCGGTTATTGTTGTTGTTATTGCTGGTATTGCTGATGATATTGTCATGGATCCATAGGGTGTATAGTGGGATCGGGTTTGAGATGCTATATTTGCCATCTTGATAAATTGTTCTTTCTGTTACTTTCGGTAGTCCTTATTAGTTGCTGCAATTCCAACTGCAAAAGAAAACCAAAGTTTAATGACACACCAACATTTTTAGACAAAAAAAATACAGATAATTGTATCGGCAATATATTCGATAACATATCTATCAAAATATTGACACATTTCATTATAAAAACGCTTTACTTTACTTTCTGCAGTCCAGTTTTTTCCATTCTTATATTTTCATTTTTGCAGCTCACTTGAAATTCAACTGAATGCAAACTTCACAGCTATCAGCTATATATAACACCACAAATACCGTTATCGCAAAATTAGCTTTATCGTTGGAAACATTATCATCGACTGAGCTGATTTGGAAAGTAAATAATTGTAAATACCTTTTAGTGAAAGCAACAAAATTTTTGACACTGGACGTAAGGCCTACATAGATGTAAATTTATGTATGTTATATGAATTTTCCTTTATATATTTTATTTATTTTGTTTGCTTTGATTGAGGAAAACCCAATTTTCTGTGCAGCTTTGAGTTGTGTATGTATTATTTTTTTTTACAGACTGGAGAGAAAAACTGAAACGCAGTTCAAGCAACTGATGCTGCTGCTGCTGGATGCTGGATGAGGCTGCAACAACGACCTTAAAGCACCCCTAGAAATGGTGTGATACCGTCTCGCTCGAACGCACATGTGGCAAGCTAGAGGAAAAAGGGTGCTTTCATCTGGCTAAGGGGGTTGGTTGTAGCCAAAACGTATCGTACAACTAAGTTACAACTGCGAGTGGAAAGTGGCAGGCACTGCGCCGATGCGAATCATCTGCAATGGATGCACATCAAGCATTTTATAGAGAACACAGCTGGTCGATTAAATGAAACACAAAAAAAAACTACACACTACACTACATAATAAACTACACACATGTCTGGATTATTATCAACAGTCAATTCAAGTGTTCGGTTGGCGCCTTATAAAATAGTTGACTCAGCATTGATTTTTTCTATGGAAAATTGTATTCATCATAGCAAAACTACAAATATATATATATATATGTATATTTATATGTCGGAGCTTTTTTTTGTACACTGAAAAACTAGAGACAAGTTTGAGAGCAAAAGAGAGATGCAAACAATAAGAAATCAAGAGAGAAATATATATATATATATGTATATGTATATATAATTGCAAGTCTGTCGATTAGTAGAACAGAGGGCGATAAGAGAAACACAAATACTAGAAAATTCTTGCACTTCCATACATACATATATCTCTTGTTGTCAAGAGACTTCAATTGAATCGATAACATATTATAGATAGTTTAACTTGTGTTAAATTATCAACTTTTTGGTGGTCTCTTTGTTTTTGTTTCTTTTTTTGGTATATGCAGCCAGTCAGCCAAAGAGATTGTAAGCCGTTTTCCGACATTTACTTCACGGCAGCACCACAGAAAAGCAAAGCAAAGCACGAACCGTGCCACCGTCTGCCGTTCGTCGTTTGTCGTTGAAACGTTGTACAAAGTCCAAAATTTCCAAGCCAGGCCAAAGCGAGTCAAGTCAAGCGACCAGCAACAGCAACAAACCAGCCAAGCCAAACAAGCCAAACAATTGCAGCTCACGACGGACGGGGCAACGACTGCAGGCCAGTGTTGACAGCAGACCAGTGTTGGCTATTTAATAGCTAGATCGCAAAATTGTATTTACTTATTATTCAAAATGAATAATAAAAACATGTCTAAAAACTATTTAATTTTGCTTTCTTAGTTTTTTTCGATTTTAAATAAAGCAGCAATTTAAAAAGAAATATATTTATTTTTAGCTTTTTCTAGCTGTTTGTGCATTGTAACATTTTTTCCTTTCCAATGCGAGCAACACTGCTGCGCCAACCTTAACAGCGAGAGGGAGAGGGAGAGAGATAGAGAGCGAGAGGGGGGTGGGTGGCAGTGCCATGCACTCGTACTCGTGCAAGCAAGCAAACTGCCCTCGTAGCCAGCGCTAGCAGACTGTGAGAAAGTTTTAATGGAATGCAGTCGAACGACTCGGGTAGCAGCCAGCCGCAAGCAGCCCAACAGCATAAAAAAAGCAATGCAACATAAATGCAGTGACGGCTGCTTGCTGCAGCGTGCGTGCGACGGGGATAGCAATAGTCACAGAAAACCATCAATGGAAAAACAACTATGCACGTACACACATACACATACACATACACACACACACACAGCCACAGAGCTCCACAGTGCTTAGGTGTAAGAAAAAATAAACATATATATAAAAAAAAGAAAAAGAGTGCGAAAAAAGAAAGGCTCGCACAAACCAAAATGCAAAAATGCAAGAGACAAAAGCAATTGTAAATTACAGATGCCCGACGCGAGGCATCTACATATATAGGGTTGGCAGCAATGGCAGAGATTGCGCATTGCTTTCTGAAGTGGAGCAACAACAACAGCAGCAGAAGCACAGACAAAGATGATAGCTTCGAGAGGCTGTTGGAGAATGGATGCTGCCTGCTGCAGTTGTTATTGTTTTTCCTGATGCTGTTGCTGCTGCTTCTGTTTTGCTTCAATTGCTGCTCATATGCACCGTTGTTTCTTCCTCTTCTTCTACTTTATGCCAAGCACAAAGTGCAGAAGCTTGCAATTACAGCTGCTGCTGCCGCTGCTCTTCTTCCTCCGCTTCGTGCTGTTATTGTGGAATGCAATTGCCCATTAACAATTGTAATGTAAACGCCTTAATGCATTTGCCTTTAGTAGGAGCTTAACAGAAGTTTAATGAAGTCAATGCGCTGCTGTCATATGTCAAAAATTAGCATTAATCAACACTCACCAGGGCTGGCAGGGCAATGTTGCTATCATTAATTTGGCAAATGGAAATCGATACAAAAAAAACTAAATCTCAAAAAACGAATACATCATTTAATAATTTACTAAACAAATGGTTGCTACTATTCGGTAAGAAATGCGAACTGGCAACAGCAAAAGGCCTCCCGGGCTCATCATGAATGACATGAGAACCAAGAAAAATACCAAAGAAAACACACACAGAGAGATAGGCAGAGAGCAAAGCAATGGAAAATCATAATCAAAGGCCAGACAACAACAGCAGCAACAACGGTGCAGGAGGCAAGGCAAGGCAACAAACAGAGAACATCGAAGACCAACAACAACAACAACAAGCACAAGCAATGAGAACCTCTAACGAGGCGCGTATTGGAATGCAGTCCAACAACTTTTCTACAAAACTCTGCAAAACAACAAGAACTGAAGTTTTTTTTTATATTTATTTTTCTGATTGGAAACTAAGCTGAACTATAAAGCAAAGCTGGGATTGGAGTTTCAATGCTGTTTGTCTGTCTCTCTCTGTGTGTGTGTTTTGGTGTTGTAAGTGAAGGTAACCGCAGCCAGCAAAGGTCTCCACTCTATACAAATGTGTGTGTGTGTGTAAGCTCAGCGCTGCTAGACTGTGGGAAACTATTATAAACACTTTACCATTCTTTTTTCCTAAACCGAGATTGGAATGCGGTGATACCAGATACGACCAGCAAGACAGAGACAGAGAAAGAGATAATTGTGTACAACAGAAGGCTGAGGAGAGAGAGGAAGAGAGCACAAGCATGAGTCGTCGTCGTCACGCAGAACTTGATGCAGGAGTAGATGTTGTGTGGATGTAGGGGAGTAGAGGAAAGGCAGACGCTGTAAAAGACGAAGAAAAAACAACAAACAGACGCACACAAAGAATATTTTCGGTGTCCTTCCAAGAAATGCAGTCGACAACGCAGAGGATGGAGACGAACAAGGAGAAATAAAACGACCGCCGACGACGAAGACGAAGACGACTTCGATGATAATAATAATAAAATACATAAATATACCAATACCAAGCTGCGGATGCTGACTGACTGACTGTGGTTCGTGTGTACTTAACGAATACCCAAGCAACAACACAAAACAAAGGGCAATATTCAGCGTAATCATAATAAATGCGACGAGAAATGTCGAGAGAAAACTGCTGCTGATGAATGCACAAAAAGAGCGAAGAACCGCGACTCAAGCTGAGCTCTACTATCTTTGTGTCGCTCTCGCCCGCTCTATCTTACTCTCTGCTATATTGATCATTGATCGATTGCCCAAAAAAATAAAAAACTAACGGCGGCTCAGTTCAAAGACCTGACGCTACAGCAGCCAGTCGTTTTCCAAAGAAAATGCATTCCCAAACCCGAAAGTCAAGTCGTGCTGTTGTTTCTCTATCTCTATCTAACTGACAGCATCCAGCTCAAATGTGAGACTTGGAATGTGGGTACGCTCTCATGAAAAATATATACACATATATATATATATATATGAGACGTGCATGCATTAAATGCGCCTCGTTAGTCTGTGGAAATGAAAGGTCGTTTTTCACGCGGCCAAGACTCAAAGGTCGTCTCGTTTCGAGAGATGATTCAGCCCAGAGAATTCCGGGAATTCCAAAGTAATTTTCTTCCCTACATCTTTGCTGCATTTGTTCTACTGATTATTGTGTGTATTTTTATTCTTCTTCAAGGGCCAACGCCGCCGCCGCGCCTTGGCTTGGTCCATGGTCCATTCATGCTGATTGCCGTCGATAGCAAAGAAGCAAAGGACAACAAAAGATGAATACGAAAAAGAAATATTTTTTCTTTTACGAAATCTACTTTTAAGACGATTTTGCTGCGACGTGAGAACTTTTGTCTATTGGTGAAAAGCGTGGAAAATCGACTCGTGATATAAACGTAGTTGTTTTTTCAGCTCCAGGGCAGGACCACCAACGTGGACCTCTCTCTCTCTCTCTCTGTCTCTGGGTGTTCTCTGTGTGTAGGCGGCGTTGATGGGTGCGGGTTGCATTTGTGGCAAGCAATAACAATAACTTGCTCAAGCGACGGAGCTGCAAAGCTTGAGCTCTGAGACTTTCTCTTTGTTGCTGATATTTGTATTGTTTGTTGTGCTTTTTTCTTTCTGCGAAACGAGCGCAAAAGTTCAAAGCAATGAAGCATAAAAACTTCAAAAAAGAAGAGAAAAGAGCCACTGAAAATTGGCAACAGCGCAAACTGCATTAGCGCTTGGTCTCTTTATATGGCGTGAGCTCAACGGCTTTTTTATTCTTGTGCAGAATGAAGAAGAAACTCCAACGTACGCATAAGTGCACCGGAAGTGGTAGAAGCGGAAATGAGCAACAAAGCAAACGAGAGAAAAAAAAAAAACAAAAACTCCAAATGGGAACTGGAACTGGGTGGGGTATGTGTATGTGTGTGTGAATGATCGGATGTAGTAAACAGTGGAAACGACACATCATCCAACGACTAACGCGCAATGTTTATTATGATGAATAATTAACTAAAAAGAGAAGTGGAAAAATACTACACAAAAGCAAAAAGAGTAGATGAAGCACAGAATAAAGCAAAACACAATTAATTCAATTAGAAGTTTTGGGAATGAATGTATCATCAGTGGCTGACCTTCTAGCCTTCAGTTTTGCATACTATAAATATATATAGTCATCGGTTAAATATACATATACATACATACATACACACATACATACGTACATACATATACAAACAGACAAAAACAACATTGCTGAAAATGGCGCAGTCGAAAATTCCAACGAGAACAAATAAGTACCTGGCATTCCCCTCGCTCCGCTACCACTCACTCTTTCCAACCGCTGCTACAATATTTGGAATGTTGTTAAGCGCCAGCAGTGCTGATATCATTCACAATATAGGGTTGTTGTTTAATTTTAAACGATAAACAAAATAACCAGTGCACTGAGTAATGCAAAAATTAGTAATTGCGTAAACAAATTTATAAATTGAAAAATAAAACATTTATTTTAAGACCACAGCGCACACATTTGGCAACTCTACAGCCGCCATATTTTTCTCTGTACAAAAACGACCTCTCGATATCGGCTGTGTGCTGAGCGAATGTGCGAGAGTGAGAGACCCTCAAAACGGGAACAACATAACAACCATCAAAATTGTCAAAATCATTTTATGCTTTATGGACATTTTTGCAAGCCATTTGTGCCATAATATTTACAATTATATAACAATTATAATATATAATTAGTATATTTTTATTTGTACTTTCAAACAGTCAGAAAACTAAGACCAAATTAAATTTGATATATTAAGCAAAACGCTTTGGTAAGTGTTGTCTTGTGCACGAAAAAATACTCGCTCTTTTCGCTGTGTATGTATATATGTGTGTATGTATATATGTGTGTGTGTGTGTATGTATGTGTGTGTATGCATGTGTGTATGCATGTGTGTGTATGTATGCGTGTGTATGTATGTGTGTGTATGCATGTGTGTATGCATGTGTGTATGTATGTGCGTGTGTCTGTTTGTAAGCTGTAGCTTTAATTAATGTACATTGTATATATATATATATATATATATATATATACATATATGTGTAGTGGAAAAACAGCTATAGCTTTGTGATGTCACGTTTTCATTTTATTTTTGGGGTTATATTTAAGTAACTCTACTGTAAAATTTCAGCTCACCTTGACAATTTTTCTCTTTTTGTTGAAAAACTCAAGTTCCACACTTCGACTTCTTTGCAATTTGGTTATTTATGAAAGTTTGTGCTGAGATTTTTGACACGAAAATTGTAGTTTTTCTGCTTATCTAATTATTGATTTTTCACAGTATTGATTTTTTTGCTTGAGCGACGACGACGATGTTTACGTTGACGTAAAATACAAAAAAACACACAGAGACGCTGACTTTCTTTATTTAAATTTAAGTCAATTCAATTCAATTGGCTGATGTTAATAAAAATGTACAACCAATATCACAATTTAGATAAGAGACCGCAGAAAAACATATTTTTTTGTATTATTTTATAATTCGTTTTGAAATGCAAAACAATTAAGCGCTTTCATCCATGCTTGCTTACTATTCGAGCTGTAACGATGAACTGACCCGCGGGTACGAAAATGTGAGCGACAATCACCGACGACAAGCAACCCCAGAGAGCGAGAGAGAGAAAATGAAACAGATGTACCGAGAGAGACACAGACACTGCCACAGAAACATAAATACGTAAACAAAATACATCACACAGCCAGACGCTAGTCTGGAAATTGTATTTTTTCTTCTTTTCAGGTTTATTTTTGCACTTCTTGGAACTACTTGCAATTTGGCTAATTTATTGAGCAAAAACATTTAAGCGTTGTGCTCAGTAAAAACTATTGATGCTTTTTATACTGCCGTTATATGTCTACAAGCATATATGTATACAGTTATGTATATGCAGATGTATGTATGTTTGTGTGCGAGTATGTGTTCATGTTGGATACATGCTCCGCTTTGGGCACATCTGGTCACAATGGTTCTGCTCCAATACAACCGTACAACTTTTGCCGTAGTAGTTAGTGTACGCAAGATGGCGTACCGTACAACCGTTACACACTACAGTTATCCTTTTCCAACCAGTAGGTGTAGAGCCCTGCTGCACAGCAATACACTGCGTCTAGCTAGGATCATTGATTTTTGTACATTTTTGGCGAGCATGCGCCATTAAAAATCATCATCAGCCTCGTCCACCTTTGACTTGTCGCGCGTGTCAATGCACCGTCATCGGCACGGACACCTCCATCCACAACCACATCCACATCCATCCCAGCCAGCCAGTTGCAGCTCATAATTATCGCGCACCTTCCAGACGCAGACAGGGATGCTGATGTTGCTGCTGGCAGAGCGCATGTAGTGCGTCGACAGCAGCTGCTTTTTTGTATACCTCATGCATGTGTGTGTGTGTGTGTGTGTGCACATATGCTCCACTGCACACGCTTACCTGGTTGTCTGGGCCTGGCTCAAATTGTATACATTTCTGTTTCTGCTTTCTTTTTGAGCATTGACAGCTGTAAATACTTTCTCAATAACACTAGGGAAACTTATTAAAATAAATCATTAACTGGACTTATTGCACTCCATGCTTATTTCCAATTTAATTTATATTTGAATTAGCAGGACTCTTGATTATATTCCTAATTATACATGCATTTCAAAATGAATCCCATTCAGTGTTAATTTATTTGCTTAATATCCTTGCAGGCAGGAGTAAATCTGCCAACATTTAGATTTCCCAATAAATGGATGCAATTGTTCCAATGAAAGTTGTATGATGTAGGAAAGAAAACAGTATTACTAATAATCAAACTAGAACCTATTATCAGAAATATGTGAGACTTCCGAAGTCATTTCCTGTACGCGTAAATTTAAGCCGAAATGCGAAACTTAGTCACTTTCTATAGAAACCTTTTTGTAATAAATACAACCTTTAAACTGAATAAATGGTTTGTTGGAACTGAAACTTTGATAACTGCCTGCAATTAAAAAGGTTATCTCGAATGCCTTGAACTTAAAATTCTTTGTAGCTTGGAAATGTACTTTTAAATTGATATATTTATACGGTATACAGAGACTTAATTTATTCTTAAAGAAAAACAACAACAAAAATAATCTATTAATGCTGACTTCGCTTTTCAAATGGAATGTTATCGATAAAAATCGGACAATCTCTAATAATTGATTGCAGGTGTGTTTGTATGGAAAAACCAGAAAGATAATTAGATTAATGACATAGCTATAAATATATATACAACTGATGATGACTTTATATTATGTTTATACGAAAAGTAAATAGCTGCACGTAACTAAACAATGAGAAATGCCAGTTGACCAGGTTGCAATATGAATACCAATAATAATACCTGAGCTCATACAGAAGAATAACAGAGCGAGTCATCGGCTTGGCAAACGGTGTGTTGCATTTGCAACAATATTGAGTAAATGAATACATATATATGAAGATATATGTGTATATATATATATATATATATATAGATGCAAATGCATCTAAAATTATCGGTCGTCGCGACGCATTTCAAAATGTGCGCCTATAAAAACACAGGCGGTGTCTAGACGCCTTTTGACAAGTTGCTGCATGCACTCGAAAAGTCATCTTAATATACATATATATTCATATACATATATACATAAGTACACATACATATAAGTTCTACAATCTATTCTATTTGCGGCGTACGAGCAGAAATCTGTGCACAGTTGCCATTTTCAATTTTTCATAATTCGCAAAAATTGCTCAAGTCGCAAAGAAGCTAAAAAATATCAAAGAATCTTGGTGGCAACTTGGGGAGAATTGTGGTAAATATTACGACACAAAAACGACCTTGCAAGGTCATTTAAAGTTGTTGCAATAGCGTTTATTGCTCCTCTCGCTGTTGCTGCTGTTCTTGATGTTGTTTTTGTTGTTGTTAGTCACCAATGAGAAATACAAACGCAACTCGCAAGCGCAGCGAGCTGCTCAGCTTTGTTTAGCAATTTTATACAAACTGTTTTTATTTTTGCATACACTTTCAGCGGGTATTCATATTTTGACATGAACTAGCTTAATTAATTGTTTGAAAATTGGCCGTTATCCTTAGCTTAAGACAGCTTGCAAAAATTGGTGCCGTTTCAAAAACTTGTTGCTCTTTCAAAATACCTCAAAATCCACAAAGGGTAAACTATATTTAACGCTTTTAAATAGTTTTAAAAGCTCGAAATATTATTTCCTTTTGCTTTTTTAAAATACCTAAAATCAATCTCAAAATTGTTAAAGATTTGAAAACAGCTGAAAATATTATTTTGTTTAGAAAGTGTATTTAAGCTTCGACAGTTTAAGATTCATTTATTGTTTACATTTTAATTGACAGACAAAAGCCACGAAACCAGTTTCTATACCCTGTCCCTATTCAAAATGGGTATGATGGATTTGTGCAAAATTTGAACAGGGTAATCGTGACGAGCTCAGTCGCTTGCAGTTGCAGCATTCCTGCATGTTCGATTCTGTGCTTTTGTTGCAATCATTTTTTCTGTATTTTTTGCGTTTTGCTACTTGCAAAAGGTGTCATAATAAAAACAACAACAACAACAACAGCAACAATAGCAAATGTTTCGGATTGATTATTACAAAATCTCCCTTTCAGCAGCTGAGTATGGGGAGGGGCAGGGCAGCGCATTGCAGGTTCGGAATTACCTGGCTGCCAATCAGGCATTGAGGACGTGTGCCGGCAGCTGGCCGCAAAAGGATCAAAAGGCAGCTGTTGCCAGGACTTGTTTCTTGTGCGACAAAGGAACATGTTCATTGAGTGTGCGCGTGTTTTGTATTTTCTAGGAACGGGGGCATGCTGGCAGCTGCCACAAGGAGTCGCTGGAGTGCTTGTCTCGAAGACTGACAACAATCAGCAGAGAGAGAGTTGTTCGAATAGTTTCTACTTAATTCATTCACAATTCAAGCAGTTCTTTGCTGCGATCTGCAGTAAACTGCTTCGCTCTGCTTGCGCACACTGCTTGCCCTCGTTAACTTAACACGAATTGCGCAATTTGTGTTGCATTTGAACAACAACTGTGTAAACATCTTTCAGTATTTTCTAGCACATGAATATGATTCATTATTCATGATTTATCACTCGAAAAAAACAAAATTGTAAACAACTTTCAATGAAAATTTGGCATATCTAATCTATAATTGAAATGTTATCGTAAACACACAGTTTCAATTGAATTGCACATGATCGATTGAAGAAAATTACTTTCTACGTTCAAAGTAATAAACAAATATGTATGAAACAATAATTAATTATTTATATATATATATATATAAATGTATAATTAATATTACAGCTGCACAGCAAAGGGATACTTTAAAATATTTAGCATTTTCAAATGATTAAAAACTGTATATCAATTTTCCAACAATATTTAATTTTTTGACAAAATTGTACTTTCTATCGAACATTCACTGTACTGTGTCTATATGGAATTCCGCCCATAGATCAAGTTCTGCAATGCAGTAATAAACTTTGAAAACAAGATAGTAAAAGCACTTCAAACTAATGGAATGATATAATATCAGCTGATTAGTTTAGATTAGATTACCAAAAACAACTAGCAACTGCAATAACAGCAACAACAACCACGACAGACACAATTATGCCATACAAATCGCGTTGACATTGGGCGATAATTAAAAGTAGCAACAAATTCTAAAGACGTCAGTAGAAAACTAGACAAATTGCAGGGCAAGTGGAATGGTGAAGGGTGAGCGGTGAGCTGATGTGAGGCATGTGTGCTGTTTTCCACACATACATATATGAATAGGGGCAGGGGCTAGCGAGGCGGCATGAATGAAATGAGCTCAGCATCTCTCAAATTGCAATGTAAAATCGAGCAGAGAAAGAGACGGAAACAAATAATTGTAATGAGTAACACAAAAACAAAAAAAAAATAAATAAATGGGGGTAGTTTAAGGGGCGGAATGCGATTGCCTCAAAATGCGAAATGGGAAAATGTTCTCGACTCGTCTGTGTTGCATGAATGAAGTCGAGGCAAACAACCCCTACAGATCCACCTTCGCAGCACTTAAACTACGTGTTCACTCACCTTTGTCATGGTGCTTTCATATCTAATCAGACTTTTTGGAATTGCGAAAAACCATTTCTTTTTTTACTTGTTTAACAACGTAGGCTTATTGTTTGCCTGGGTAAAATAAATTTTTTATCTTCTTTTTTAACGATTGAAATACGTCCGTTGGGTTTGAGTGTCGCACGGCGAATAGCAAATGGAAAGTTTTAGCGGCTTGTTTTGTCTATTTTGCATGCCAGAAAAAGAGGTTTTTGTTGCGTATTTTATTGCATAGATTCTGTTTCGGTTTTTGCTTTTGCTTTCTAGAACGCTTCCGCTTGGAACGAGTAAAAATCGTAGTTTGCTTATAGAGCGCAATGCGCAATATGGTTTTGGGTGGTGGGTTTTCTATTCATTTTTGTGGAGTGTGCGCGCTGGCCTTGAGAGAGAGTGAGAGGCAGACACCGGGAGAGAGAGAGATATAGAGAGAATTACAATACTCACAATTACGTTATGTAAAATATTGACACAATTTCATTTGAAAATTACACTTGGCGGCAATTTCAAATTCATCACTTGCAGCCCTGGCAGCAGTGTTGCTCTAGCACAACTATTTCTGGCATATGTACACACTGCTGCGCACGGTTGCAATCACAAAACTAATCGATGTTGACGCAACATGTGCCGACATTCACAAATTGCGTCAACATTTGCGAGAGCATTCACAACGGGCAGCAACATGTCAAACTGTGACAGGGTCGCTCCGCTCTCCTCTCTCTCTCTCTCTCTCGCTCTCTGTCTCTCTCTATGTGTTTTCGCTGTTCGCCTCTCTTTCATCAGTTTCATTTTAACCTTTGTCGTGGCCGCACGGAATGGCACGGAATGGTGAACGGAATTAAATACACATATTTAACCGAAATATGCACAATAAATTGAATTATTGTGCAGCGCCCAGAGCCTTTTAGCCAATATATAATAGAGTGCGCCACACACACAAATTGCATTGTGCGCGTGCCGCGTATAGCAAGCAAAGTAAGTGCGTCTGTTTTTACTGCGTGCGTTTCGGGTGTGAAAAGTTTTCCAAATGCAATTTTCTACATTTTTCTCCAACGTTCGCCTGTGAATGACTCTGTGTATGTTGTATGTGTGTTTGTGTAAAATGCCTTTACATAATTACGCGCATTATATTTGTTTTAGCATTGCAATTGGCCTAAAAACACATGCATTATATAAATAAAAGAAAAATCCAAAGCAGGCGAAAAAGAATCGAGTGAGAAAAATATCGGTTTCCATCTTTTTAGTTGCGTTCTTCGTTCTATTTACTCGCCACAAACCGACGTCAGCGTCGCGGCTGTTGAATTTATGTCAAATTGGTAACACACACACACACACACATACATACCCACAGTGTTGCATATTGTGCGTGTGTGTGTGTGCTGAAAAGAGAGGCAGGGAGAGAGAAAAAGCGAGCGCGCGAACAACTTGCAATGATAAACAAAGTGTGTGGGGAGAAGAACAACAACAGCAACAAATGTTATTTTTACAATTTTTTTCTATAAAATGCTCACATTAATTGTGTACACTTAATCAACTCTGGTGTGTTAAGAAAAAGAAGCAACATGAACGCAGCGCGACAACCCTGTGCTTGAAGCGCAATCAGCAGCAGCAGCGCCCTAACGTCAGCGTCGTCGTCGTCGTCGGCTTCGACAGCGGTTTCGCCGCAGTGTTGTGTTTAACGTCAAAATAATTTACGCGCAACTTTTTCCACACAATTCTGTCTTTCTCAGTGCTGGCCGAGTTTGTTTTGAATGTAATGCAAAAGCTAAGAATCAAAAAACCAAAAAAAAAAGAAGTGTGCAATAGGCAATAGCAGAATAAAAAAAGAAGCAACAAGCAAATAATAACGGCCCAGAAGAGATCGCTGCATGCATGCGTGTGTGTCTGTGAGTCTGTCAGTCGACCTGTGTGTGTGTGAGCTTGAGTGAGTGTTTGATTGTGTATGTGTGTGTGTGTGTGTGTGTGTGCAGTGAAGTGCAAAAGAAACACGATAAAAATATAAGAAATAAAAAAATGAGCAGTTGCGCCCGTTTTAGCTGATAAAGCGCACAAAACGTAAAGAAGACGAAAAGGAAGAAGAAGATGTAGTGGGCATAAAACGAGTGAAAATAGAAAACTAATAAATAGCTAGCTAAGGGAAACGGCAAAATCAACAACTACAAAAAATAAAATATCTTGAATTCTATATTAATGTGCAACATTTTATCCCCCATAAATAGTGTAAAACAAAATTTCGTGTGTAACAGCAAGAAAAAAAAAACAAATAAAAACAAATCAAAATTAAACTGCAGGCGCCGCTAAGCGCCAAGCAACAACAACAAGAAGAAGAGAACAACAAGAAACACAACAAATAAAACAGTTAAAAGATGTCAACGCTGGACGTGCTCAATCATTCGGCGATGATGAAGCGGGCCGAGCAACTGAAACGCTGGGAGGAGTCGGACACAAATAATGCCGCACCCACACCGCGCCACGAGCACGGACGTCGCATCAAATTCAGTTCAGGTTGCGTTTTTCTCGCCGCTTGCCTCTCCGGCGATAAGGAGGATGTGGTGCAGCTGCTTGATCAGGGCGCCGATATCAATACGGCCAATGTGGATGGACTCACAGCGTTGCATCAGGTGCGTATCACCCCTGCTCTACCCAGCTCTCCTAGCTGTTTATCGATAAATGGTGAAATGTATATGAAATGTAAATGGGAGCAGATTCATTACGTCAGTGATTGCAAACACGCGATTTACTCCCAAGCAGCAGCAGTAGTTGTTAGTTGTTAGTAGTAACAGGCAGCAACAACAGGGGGCGGCAGTGTGCAGAGGGCAATTTCGAAACTGTTGCGCCCAACTGAGTAGCGATGCCAGCGTCGCAGTTGCCGTTGACGTTAAACTCGCCGCACGCCACAGATTTATACCCTATTTAAATTAGTTGAGAAAGGCGTTTAGTATTTGAATATTAATTATTAATTACATAATACATAGTCTTTATATAAAACCGAAAAATTGAGCGAATAAATGTTATGGGAAACGTTTTAATTATTGTTCGTTAAACTATATTTTTTTAAAGTGATTTCGACTGAAAATTGTGTATCCAAATTTAATTCATTACAAAAATATCTTTAGACAAAGTATTGGGTGACTACAAGTCGGATACACTCGCCTTTTAGCCATTCACTGCTGAGTGTTGTTGTTTACGGCGTATATTTCGTGCTCTCGCTGCGGTTTCCAAAGCACCGCAAAACCACTAAAACATTAACAAATACATTTCTAATGCAAGCCGACGATTTACAACAAGTTGAAATGTTGCTGAAACAACAACAACAACAACAGCAGCAACAATAGCAACAACCAACAGCAAACGGCGCAAGCATTAAATAAGAAAAATACAAAATTTGTTCTATTTTTAAAAGCCTAGAAAAATATACAATACTTGCAAACACACACACACAGATACAACTGGCAGTTGTATATAGAAAAGATTTTCGCAAAATCATTTTCATTTTTATTTCAATTCTGATCGTTTGTTCTTTTGAGCCTTCGCCTCAATATATATATTTTCATGTACGAGAAATTTAAATCTTTGCTAAAATATATTTCATGTGGCGCCTTTCAATTCTAGCACAATGGACAGTTCAATGTATCTCAGCCAAAATTGTTTACATATATATGAAAAAAATCAATTTATGCAGCTGTGTTTTAACTGCAAATAGAATTGTATATATTATTGTTGGAGAATTTTGTATTTCTTTATTTCAATGCAGTAAATGTTGTAATTTAATTGCCTGTTTGGACTATGACCAACTATTCTTAACATTTCGCGGTTTCGAAATTATTGCTTGATTAATTGTAATTTAAAAAGCTTTACTTTTCTTGAAATATACATCATTAAAAATTTCGACGAATTTCTAAAATTTGCAATATTCTTTACGAATGTTGAATATACAAAATGAGGTTCCTTATGGGAAAACATACTTTACATACTGCAAACTTTCGTGAATGTAAGAAATTTTGATAGTGGAATCAGTCTATAACTAGTTTAAATGTGAACAGGTTGTGGCGAGAGTCAAGCAAAAATGCTAAATTAATAATGCAAATAGATTATCGATATTATATACAGTAAATATGTAGATATTATTATAAATATGCTTACTGTTAGCTGTGGTGTGCACAGACTTTTAGCATGAACTGTGTGCTTGAAAGCGGTCTAATTGAATTTAATTATGCCGCGCCCGCTAAGAGCGGCAGATTTTCACCGTTTAGCCCGCGACGCACTTGTTAACCAGATGCTAATATCTATCTGCATAATCACAGATACATCTTGTATCTTGTTAAGCGAACGGGAAGGGGATTGGTGGGGCGGGACAGGTAGCGGAGTATAATTGCAGCAACAATAATAATGGGAACTGCAAAGTTTTCAATTACCTGCTGCTTACAGTTGTCGTTGTCGTTGTTGTTGTTGTTGTTTTGTTAAACCGCAAACAGAAATTGCATTGCATTTATTATACTATATGCTGTAAGTATTATAATTAATTAATTCATTGCTGATTTCGTTGATCGTGTTTGATGCTTTCTTTTTACCAAACAGAAATGCAAAAAAATAGATATCTAGTGAAAATTGTTTGTAGCGGCTTTCATTCATAAACAAACAGCAAAAACAACAGCAAAAACAACAACAACAACTACAATAAACACTTAAAGCCAAAAACACACCTGCATGCCACATTCAATGGCCCCCATTGGCCATGAATGATGCTGATGACGAACAAGCAACAAACCGACGGCGGCCAATTGGACTCTGGGGCTAGTTTGGGGTTGGGGTGTCCGTGGAACGTGGCTTGTTGTGCGTTGACATTCAATTCGCTGGGGGAACACAACTTGAAAGAAATTGCAATAAGTTGCATAAATGTTTCTTTACACATTATAAGTTGTGTCTGCTGCATTTGTCAACGTGTTCTTTCATGCGCTAGTTCAAGGATAATGATGACTTATTGCTCATTTTATAAATGTACGGCATGGCCGTATATAAGACATATACATATATTATATCTATGGAATGTTCTATATTTAAATATTTTTTAATTGGGCCATAAAATATATAGGCAGTAGTCCATAAATTGTCACGGCAATGCGCCAAATAAAATCCACGGATCACAGTGGGATTGTTTCCATATACTTACTTGAACTTTGCACTCTTTCGATTTGAACCTTTTAAGTAGCATGAAATTTATGGGATCTACATATTTCAGTTTTTTTTGTGATGATTAATCGAATTTCTTTGATGCAACCAACAGCTGATAAATGAATTGAATTAATTTTTTATAATTTAATGCTAAATGCAAAATAGAAATGAATCAGTTTTTAATTTTTAAATTTATTTCTTATTTATTGGGTTGTTTGCAGAAAAGTGTTTAAGCCTGTCTTATTTTTCATATTAATTGTTTTATTATTCATTTCGTAAAGACAAATGTAAAAATAAGCTGATCAGCTGTATTTAAATCAAGCAATTAATTTATCACTCACATGTTAACGATGTTAACGGAGTTAGTCTCCTAATGAAATGGTGAAATGTTTAGAATGTGAATGTAGGAAATGTTGGGCATATTGAAATCAGGTTATTAAATAGGTTTGTGCTCTTAGCTTACATTATAAACATTATTGTTGTTTTTATTAGCTTTATACAAATATAGAATCGTGTTATTTTCAACTATAAGTCTTGCATCATATCCTCAACAGACAAACTTTTATTTCAATTTAAGCATCCGTTAAAAATGTTTTTTGTTTTTATTGTCGGATTAAAGAAACACGCGTTGCAAAACAACATTAACAATTTTGGTCACATTATAATTAAGATGTCTTTAAGATAAAGCGTTGACAGTTGCGTGTGTGAGTGTGTGCATGCGCGTCTGTGTGTGTGTGTGTGTGTGTTATACTCATGTGTATTTGTTTGTAAATAATTTGAATACGGCTTTAATCTTAAATGCTGACCAATTAGCTTGAACTATTTTGCAATTGACTGCAAAGCGGCTAACAATAAATTGTCACATAAATTAGCTAATTATTTTGTCAAGTTTTTGCACATGAATATATTATAATAATATAATAATGGCAACAAATCATGAACGTGATCGTTATATGACCCCAAATCAATTTTAATGATCTCTCCCTCTCTCTTTCTCTCGCTCTCTGTCTGTCCCTATCTCTATCACTCGCTCTGATCCTGTCTCGGAAATTATAGATCAGTTGCGTTTGCGTTGCGTGAGTTTTCCAAAAAAAAAAAGCAATAATAATATTGTATTTATTGTTGTTGTTTGTTATTATTGTTTGGGGCTCTAACGCGCTTTATTGACGTGTTTTGTAACCTTGGCCCGGTTCTATCTCTGCGCTCTCAACGGGGCAGACGGAACGATCAGTTGGGACGGACAGAGAGATATACAGTAGCAGCAGCAGCGGCAGCAGATACAAATCAAACATCCTCAAGAATTCACAGCGCGTGTATCACATACAAATATCGCTTTATGTATATAACGATGTATATATATATATATTGTTGTACATAGATCTGTGTATATTGGGGCATGTATAATGCAGTGTATATTGCTGATGCTGCGGCTGCTTTGGCTACATTGGATTTGATTTATTTCTCGTTTGGTGTTTTACACCCAAAATAACAAACGATGCTGAAAATCTGGCGAATTGAGCAAAACTGAAAAATCATTCTATGCAATACAATTTGATGTGTCTGCACCGAATATGTGTGTGTATGCGTGTGTGTGTGTGTGTGTGTGAAGAGTGCATTGCATAATACCATTTCGAGCCAAATTGAAAATAACAACTGCCTGTAAAATGTACATCATTTTTGTACACTTTTACAACTGACGTTGTTTCCCAGTTCGCCTTCTGATTGTATTTAATTTGAGCTCATTTTATAGCAGCCAACATACACACACACACACACACACAGAGAAAACACAACACACACACAACTGGTGAAAATGTATGGGGAAAATAGGAAAAGAAAAATACTGCCTGAATTTGTTTTTGCTTTAAAGGCGAGCCGCACAATATTCATAACACGAACACTTTTCATTTTTTCGCCAACCTATGACGAAATACACACAAAAATAGTTGAATCAAATAGAAAAAAAATATAATATGGATGGTATCTTGGTGGGTGGATTGACCGCAAGAGTTATTTTAATATGCCACATTAAATTATCCCTGATATGTGTGGTATATCTAGTATAAGTGAAAAATATTAAACCGCACTTCTTATCACAAAAATGTGCTTTTGCAGAAAGTCAGAGCAACTTATTAATCGATAATTTCCTCAGTTTTGTAAATACATTTCAAATATATATATATATCTATGTGTATAAATGAAAGCGCTCGATTCGTGGTGATTAATTTGGCCCACTGGCACATTCCAAATACTTTTCATAATAGCAATATCATAAACAAATTCTATAAGTATATTGTGATTCTCCTTATTCAGATTTTGTTCTTTCGGTTTCTAACCCAATTTTTGTAAGCATTCTTTGTTTGTTATTCATATTGAATACACATTCCTCTTGGACGACGGCTATTGAGTCAGGTGGCTCTGCTCCAGGCCCGAGCCAAAACTGCTGTGAGCTGAAATATCTCAGCTGAGCAAAAAAAAAAAAAACAACACAAAAATCATTTTAAAAAAAGAAGACTGAAACTAATAGACACCACAATTTGTTTTTGGCAGCTAGGCGAAGGCGAGGCATTCAAGTGGCATCAAATACATGAAAACTTTCAACAAAAATAAAATAAAAAAAATCAATGAAACAAAAATGATTTGAAATTATGAAGGCTTGCCATAAGCCATTAGACCATTTAGCCATGTGCCACGCCATGATTGTACATGAATGAGGCCTCCAAAAATATTGAAAAATCTGTTCAGCCTTTGCTTCATTTAGTAATGAGTGTGCGTAATTAATTCAAATTTCATTTACTAGCCAATAAATTGTTCAACTATTTTATAATTTTTGCTTTGAAATAGATTGCAACTTAGCGGCTTTGCTCAAGACTTAGGCAAAAACAAATGCTCACAAGAGCTTAAGCTTAGAACCAAGCGCTTGAACTCTTTCAAACAAGTTGGCGAGGATTTTTTTGTATGAGTTCATTTGTTGGTTGGTCTTTTAAGAAGGGGGGCAGGGCTTATTATTAGTAAGCAGCTTGCAGCCGCAAAGCCGTCTCAACAAGTTGCTGCTGTTGATTTGCTGCAATGTGCGGCGTATACGTAATGCAGCGGGGTGAATAACATTTAAGGCGCAAAGTGGCTGGCAGTTGGAGAGAGAGAAAGAGACGGAGGGAGAAAGGAGCGAGTTGGGTAGACGACAGACGAAATGCCGCTCAATGGCGTGCCAAAAAAACAAAAGGCTAAACTTAGCATGCAATTTCGTAGAGCGCCTTTTTTTTTTTAGTTTATAGCTATCTTTCACTCTGGCCAAGAAAAATTCGCTTTCAATGCAATGAAAATAGCACAGAATTTGCAGCTGTTGTTGGTGTTGTTGTTGCTTTTATGCTGCTGCTGCTGCTGCTGTTGCTGTTGGCTGACATTAACACCCGACCAGAAATCAAAAGTCACAAATTGTCAGTCGAAATAGCTCATGTCAAATTTTGCATGCTGAACAAAAAGTTGTCGTTGTTTTTGCTGTTGACGCTATTGTGGTTGTTGACGACAGGATGGTCACGCGTGGGCGGTCCGCCCATCGTCGTAGTCGTCGTCAGTTGTCGCTGTCGTCAGTTGGTCAGTTTATCAAAAATTGCTCATAATTAATTAATTGGCTGCGTTCCAGATTTACAAATTGCTCAGACCAGAGACCCGTTTGGTTTTTGTATGCCTCGTGCCTGCCTACTTGCCTGCCTCATGCCTCATGCCTCGTGTTCTGTGCGCCATTTATGCGTTTTACTGCGAAATGGAAATTGCTTTTGCATTTTCAAAGCAATAGCCAGCAGCCAGCAGCCAGTCAGCCCCCTTTAAAACAAAAAATAACTAAATTAACATATGTTGACCATAAAAAAAAGAAACAAAAAAGAACTAAAGAACATTTGATTTTGAATACTCCACAACGTGAGCTTATCAAGAGTAACAATTGGTGGGGATTCGTTATGGGTTTTGCTATCGCTATTCTTATTCGTACAGTGATCGCTCGCTAATTGGAATGCAAAGCTTTCAAAGTTGCGTTGTTTTTATCATTTAAATATGCTCTTCGCTGACTCCAGGTCAAGTCAAGTTTTTTATATTCAGAATCCAGTCGGGTTTTTATTTAATTAATAAAAAAACTATTGTACATATAAAGGAGAAAAATATATTTAGATTGTAAACGTGTTTTTGGCTTGATTAGAATTTTATTATCTATATTATCCATTTAGATATGGATATTATATACTATTTTTTTGAATTTAATCGTTTTTAAACTGAAAACTTTTTGTTTGAGCTAAAACTACTACTGCTCCTTCTTCTGGGAGTTTTTAACTTCTATTGTTGACCATGGCCGAGTGATCACTGTATTAATGTTTGAGGTTTGGCGCTCAGCTCTTTTTGTGTTTGCGGCTGTTAAGAATTCTTATCGCCATTTCACTTCGCATTGTTGTCGCCGTTGTCGTCGTTGTTATTGGGCGGGTTCTTGGCTAGATAGCGACGCATAGAAGCCGTTCTCGTCGGCGCAGTTGCTCACAATGATGATGATATCATCGCCATCATCGGTTGTCGTTGTCTACGATGTTGTTGTTGTTGTTGTCGTTGTTGTCTTCTTCGTTGTGTACACGCCGACCGACGATGTCTTCGCTCCAACGGAAATCCGCATAAACAACGTTGTCCATGTGCCACACTCAGCTCCAGACCCAGTTTGCATATGTATGTGTATCTGCAACTGTTGTGTGTGTGTGTGTGTGTTTACTTTAGCGTTTTTAACTAGATAAACAGAATTGTTGCTGAGCTATTAAAACATGGCACAATTACTTATACAAAACCATCAATTTACGGGTATAAGAGTCTCGAATCGAGAGAAAAGATACCCCGAAGATGAAAAGAAAATTCGCACAACTGAATTTCAAATTCAATACATTTAAGAAGCAATGTAGTCAATCGTAAAAATAAGCAACTTGCCAACAGTAAACAAGCGAAAATGTAAATTTATCAACAGGGAACAGAGAAGAAAAAGAAATGCAAATTATTTCGCAAGCACCAAACGAATAATTGTAAAATTATTCATCTCAGGGAGTATTCAACTATCAACCTTGGACTTTTAAAATTGAATTCAACTGTATAACTTTAACTTGACAGTGGTTTTAAAGAGCGCCTAAAATGGCAATTTAATGTAGCACAGTTTTTAGATCTTCTAAAAACTGATTAGTGTAAGCCAAGTTTAAATTAACTTAACTTTAAAAACTTAATCGATGATTTTATGCACTTGACTAATTATAATTTATAACTTATCTTGCTCGCAGGCCTGCATCGATGACAAACTGGAGATGGTTGAGTTCTTAATAGAGCATGGAGCAGATATTAACCGACAGGACAATGAAGGATGGACGCCACTGCATGCAACTGCCTCCTGCGGGTGAGTTACTTCAGCATAATATTTGTATATTCCACTAATCTATATTCATTTTTCATGTGCAGCTTTGTGAGCATAGCACGATATTTGGTGGAGAAAAATGCGGATGTGGCCGCCGTGAATAGCGATGGTGATTTGGCGCTAGATCTGGCAATCGATGTGCAGCACATGCCCATGATTGACTACATGGAAAAGGTGGTGCAGGAGCTGAACATCGATGTGGATCAGGCGCGCAAGGCTGAGGAGCAGGCGATGCTTAACGATGCAAAGAAATGGTTGCGCAGCGATGCCGCCGAAGTGGATCGACCGCATCCGAAAACAGGTGCCACAGCGTTGCATGTGGCTGCCGCCAAGGGCTATACGAAAGTGTTGAGCCTGTTGCTGGCCGGGCGGGGCAATGTCGATAGGCAGGATAACGATGGCTGGACGCCGTTGCATGCGGCGGCACATTGGGGCCAAAAGGAGACAGCTGAAATGCTGGTGGAGTCACTGGCCGATATGGATATACGCAATTATGCTGGCCAATCCTGCATCGATGTGGCCGATCGCAAAATGGTCAAATTCCTTGAAGAACTGCGCGCCAACAAGCGCAACAAGCGGCGTCCATCTAGTCAAATCAGGTGACTTTCCTTTCCCATTCCCATTCCCTTACTGATTGTAAATCATTTTGCTAAAATTTGTTTATTTGTTGGCTTGCAGCAGAATCTCAGATGCGATTGAAAATCATGTGGACAAAACACCAACGAAACTCGTACGCGTTGAAGTGAGAACGGATGCTGCTAAAGATGGTGCGTAAACTTGAGCCACGAAACTTGAAAAAGCCGATCCCAACAAGAAACAACAAACCACACCCCCAAACCCGTTCACAAAGCACAGCTGCTTATTTTCTGCATATTATATAATAAGTTTTCTTTCATATTTCTATGCCAACTTTTGTGTTGTGTTGTGTCGCTGTCTATGTGTTCTTGTTGTGCCACTTAATTAGGTTCTCATGCGCGTTAAAAGTTCAGTTGAAGCATTTATTACAAAACACTTGCCACACATGCCACACTGCCATCTCCTCGTTCTCGTTCTCGTTCCCTCCGTCGTCTCATCTCATCTCTCACATCTTTAGCAGCCACTTTGTATGTTTTTTTGCGTCTCATCTTTATTATCATCAAAAGTCATCAACTCATCGTCTAGTTGAAACAGTTTCTGTAACCCACTCTCTCTCGTTCTCTATCTCTCTCTCTCTCTCTCTCTCTCTTTCTTTGTCTCTTCCTACGCATCCCAACTTTCTTTCTCTCTGTCTCCCCCCCTTACACTTCGTTTGTGTTTTCTCTCTATTTGTTGTCTTGTCTTTGTCCAAACACACCGCACACTGCAGCTGCGAGCGGTTCGCTTAGCGTCAGCGCTCAAATTGCGCCCGATGTTGTCAATGATGATGATAATGATGGTGATGATGATCTTACTGCCACTCACGATGATAAAGTTGATGTCGATGTTATTAAAGATGATGATGATGGTGTTGGTGATGATGATGATGCTGACGAAACTGACTCAGATCTCAGCGATTCCACAGAGAGCTCGCACAGCACAAGTCTAGACGAGAGCGAAGGTAGTCAGTCGCCTATTGAGAGTTGCGCATATGAAATTCAGTTAGCCCCCATCCCCCTCAATGTGCTTAAGAGCCTGCATTAAGCGAAGACTAACCAGCATAGATATATATTCCCATAAGTCCAATAACTAATATATATATATTTTGCTCTTGCAGCTGAAAATGTAAAGCCCAATCACACCGGCGACCATCCCGTCGAGGAGGAGGCGCCCTGGCGACGCCGAACGCAGCGCACGCCCAACGACAGCCCCACTAAGAATCGTGAGTGACGAATTGACAGTTCGCCAATTTTGGTGCAGTTACTAATCGATAATTGTTAACTTCTATTTGCCTCGCAGAAGTTCCTGATAAAGAGCTGAGTGGCAAGAGTGCCAATGAGAGCGCCAACGATGTCATCTTGCGACGCACGCAAAGCTTTGAGAATGATCAAAAGTGAGTTGAGCCCATCCACACGCACAATTGCGCACCACTAGACATAAATGCGTGCCACACACACACATCATACACACACACACACATAAAGTGCAAATTAACACCCGCATTTATATAATAATAACAATTTGTATATTTTGATGTGTCACAATTTGCACCAAATTTTCGGTTTATTTTGTTGCCGTTTGTGTTTCACATTTGCTGATTGCGCGCCGCTTATCAATAAAAATACTTCACGCAGCTTACAAACACCCACACACACACACAAAGATACAACACTTAAACACACTTGTACTATAAACTCACTCATTGTATTATTGGCCATTATCGAAGAACTTGTAGTGAATTATGCACCTTTTTTTTAAAATATGAGCGCTGTTTAGATAAGCTTATGAATCAGTTAGAAAGCAACCGAAAAGAAACAACGTGAATTAAGGAAAGCAGGCGCAGTCTTTAATGTTAAACTCAGTAGAGCAATTGAAGTCTCAAAAAAAAATATATATTTATATATATATCGGCGCTGCTGCGGCATAGTGTGAAACACAAGCAAGCAATAAGAAAACAATTAATTGTGTGACACAATTTAATTTCTGTACTCAAATTTGTTTTGCTATTGTTTTTTTTTTGTTTTGCTTATGTGTGTTTTCTTTTACTTATGTGCAACAAAACAACAACAACAACAACAACAACTACTACTACTACAAAATCACCAACAAATCGCACAAATTCATCAAACGCTTATCAAAATCCAATTCTAACCCGCCCGCCCGCCTTCGCCCGTCCACCCGCCCGCCCGCCTGCTCGCCTGCCTGTTCATCTGTCCCCACGATCCATGCAGATTCTATCAAAAATATAATGAGCTGCGGGCACGCATAAAGGCGAACTCGTGTCCCATACTGCCAGCGACGACGGCGGCTAATTCTGCTGCGCTGCCGCCCGGCGGCAACAATGCTAATAACAACAATAACCAAAGTAGCAATAATAACAACAATAACAATAACAGCAACAACAACAACATCAATAATAAGAGCACAACGCTGCTGTTGGGAAAAACTGCAAGCGTAACAAGCAGCGGCAGCAGCAGCAACAACTACAACAACACGCCAACAACAACAACATTCAACACACACAACACCAACTACACAACATCAACAACAGCAACAGCAACAGCTACAGCAAATCCAAGTCAAATTTATAGCGTACAAAGATCGGCCTCCCTCAAAGATAACTCTGTGTATTTCAGGTTTGTTCTGTGCCAAAAAAAAAAAACAAAAAAATAAAAATAAAACATAACTCTAACTAACTGTAACTAACTAGCAAGTACTTAATAACAATCATAGATGTGTTAACCGTAATATCTCTCTCTCTATTAACTGTAATCTATATAATCATTGCTTTTGCTTAGCTTCCAATGTACTCTGTACTATATATATATATATATATAGATATACATATATACATATCGTTTATATACCCAAACAAATTCTCATTGCACCAACAACAAAATCTACTTCAACATTTATTTAGGCAATACGCACAATGTCGTCTACCTCTCTTAGATATGATGTTCCCCTCCCTTAAATGACTTTCTTTAATGTGCTACTTTCTCTTTCTCTCTCTCTCTCTCCCATTTTGTCTCTGCTTGTCTCTCACGTGCTCTCTTTGCTGCTCATACAGGAAACCGATTGCTCCAGCTGCAATGCTTACAACAGCGACAACAGCGACCACAACAACAGCGACGCTCAGCTCACCCTCAACGACTGTGCTCACCCCACCTATACGCAGGTGAGTCCTTGACACGATACGAACGATAACTGTATATATATATAAATTTGACTGTAATATTTAGTTAATTTGAAGTTTAACTAGTTGGGGATATGAGTAAGCTTTAAGTGGGAAGGCTTTTAGATCTCAGAAGTAATATCACAGTTGTAGTTATCGATTGTATTAGGAAATATAATAAGGTTCTTTAGAAATATGTAAAATATATATTTTACGAGCTTAATAAGAATATCGCTTAAGGTTAGCCACTCTTCTGTTTGAGTTACTGCTTACAAAAATTAAATTAATCGATAGCAAAAATCGATGAATCAAAAACTAGTTGTAAACAAGACAAAGAGCTTAGGTTATCTGGGGAACAAGAGGGTTCTGACTCTAAATTAATCGATATATAAATCGTTAAATCAAAAATTAGTTATATATTTTAACAACGGTTATTATTATACAAATTATACAAAAACTCCGTTAGCAACAACAGCAATAATAACAGCAACAACAACAATGGAAGTTCAACGGCGAGTGCCGCCAGCGTCAGTGCTGCAAGTGATGCGGAGACACCAAAGCCCAAGCAATCGGCGACCAATATATTCAAGAACTTTTTCAAGTAATAATGTTAACTGGTTAACTGTTGACAGTTGTTTTGCGCTAACCCCAACAAGCCGTTCAAACCGTGCCCAGCTGCTAACACTTGACAGCAACTCTGGTTGCTAAGCATGTGCCAATAACTCTCTCTCTCTTGTTATGTTTATGTTGATATGCCCTTATTTGTTGTTCTATGTACTAATTATGCTTTCGATTCCTTTGTAGATCCTTTGTGCCGCCAGTGCGTGATGAGGAGAGCGAAACGCAGCGCAAGGCGCATGCGAAGCGAGTTCGGGAGACGCGTCGATCGACGCAAGGCGTTACGCTCGATGAGATCAAGAGTGCCGAGGAGCTGGTCAAGAAGAAGAACCTTGGCATGAACAACAATAACAATAATAATAACAACAACAGCAGCAGCGTAAGTAGTTTCTGTGCCCAAGTCCCAAAGCCGAAAAAACAAACATTTCAATACAAAAATCACCCAACACATGTCTAAAAAAAAAAATTGTTAGCGAATCGTAGATCAGTCAGAGCCATTCCATACCTAATCATAGAGCTTATATACTATATATTGTATATGTTTGTTATCTGTAGTGCAACAAGAACTCCACAAAAAACAAATCACACACACGACGATGATGTCCACGTGCAATTCTTAACTTGTACACCAAAACAACACCAAACAACAACTGCTTAAGGTTATGGTGTTCCCATTAATGTATTTGTTGTGTTTTCTTCCCCCCACCCAAAAAAAAAACACCCCTGTGTATGTATGTGTGTGTGTGTGTGTGTATGTGTGTGTGTAGTGCAACGATTGCAATCCTTCAATCGTTAAGCACAATCCTCTGTCTTCATCATCTCTTTTTCCCATCTCATACAAAGTTTGTTGTCACTACACACGTTAGAAATTTTTGGTGTTTGTCGTTCTCATTCATATATATATGGACTCTCCTTCCACCTGTGTATGTATGTATGTGTGTGTGCGTGAGTGTGTGTATCTCTGTGTGAGAGCACGTTTGTTAAGCCTAGTTTTTGTTAACAATAAGCCTTATGGTAGCACTTAGTTTATTTCAATACGTTTCCCAGACACTATGCAACAAGAGGAATTGAAAGTTTCAAAACTGTTTCATCAATCATCAACAATTTGAAACTTAAGCAAAAGGAATTGCTCATTAAGATAGAAATTATCATTAGCAGTGAGTACCTCAGATTTGTTGCATAGTGTGAGTTCAGCAAAGCCCATCAATGTAGTGTAGAGTTCTGATCATCATTGTGCCATCAATCAAATCAGTCGATCAATCAATCAGCACTCATTTAGCCAGCTGCAAATTTAACAATTGAGCAAATCGAGCGCCAATTAAATTGAGTTTTTTTTACTGCGATTGCGCTTTTGAGATTTCTGCGTCTGCATCCGAGTTCATTATACACATATATATATTTTGTTATTATTATTGCGCCGCTGATCAAATTGAAAGCAACAAAAATCGCACCGCTCAAGCCGCTGCCCGCCGCCTTCGTATCGAAATAATAAAACTTGCATCGGCTCTCATCGATATCAAGTCTTTCATATTCATCTGTGCAGTTTTATAAGAGTAGCTCTATTTCTATATATTATATTTTAAGTTAATTTATTTTTATGTAGCGTCGATTGCTCAGTTACTTTTTTTTTATACTATCTGTATATATAAATTCATATATTCAATCATATATATATTTATGTATTTGTGCATGTTGTTGACTTAGCATGCGTTTAGAGTTCTCGAACAAAAGTATCTGAAAGTGCCGGGTGCACTCTTACGTATGTCGTATGTATGTATGTCTCTTATCGTATATCGTACGTCTAACCTTATTATACAACTACTTTGAGCGTTAGTTTGTTTGTCAGAATATGCCCCCAACTCCCCCCCCTGAAACTCATCCAGAAACTCCATTTGATTTTTGTTTTTGGGAGAGAGACTAGCAGGTCCAAGTGGTTCTGTTTTTTTTTTTGTTGATTATTTGTTCCACAACTAATATTATTAACAGAATGAAACAAGCTCCACATCAAGCACCACAACATCAACATCAACAACAACAACTACAAGCACAACAACAGCAACAATAACTAGCAGCAGCAGCAGCAGCAGTAACAACAGCAACATTGACACCAGCAGCAGCAGCAGCCGAGAAGAAGAAGCGCAACCACCACCACCGCCCACAACACCTCCACCAGCCATAATACCAAGCACAACAACCACAGCGGATGATGATTTGGATATAATTGAGTCAGTGGTTGCTACATTGACGCCATCGGTTGCTGATACCACAGCCAGCTTCACGTTGGCAGCGCCAACCACAAGAATATCGCCAGATGAAGCAACAGCAAGTGAAGCTGGCGAGGATGACGACGATGAACAGCAAACGGCGGTCAGCGCCAGTTTTACAATAGTCTCGAGGCGGGAGAAGCCTCAGCAGGAGGCGGAGTCAGAATCGAGCAGCCACAAACCACTAAAGACTGAGCTACAATTGGAAAACGCAATCAGCAATCGGCCCACAGATCTGTCTCTGGGCGAGAGTAAACCAGCAGCAACGACGACGCCTGCAACCACGCCCAGCGCCCTAGAGAGTCCGGTGCGGTTGCGTGACAAGCGCAGCTTGAGCAGCACCGCTTTTGGTGCCAGTGGTTCAGCCAGCCAGGACGCGGATGGCGATAAATCCGAGACAGCATCGCCAGTGGGTGGACATCCCGATTTCAATGCGCGTGATTCGTTGCTCAGTTTGTATGCACGTCGCACACAAGAAAGTGGTGCTGGTGGTGCAAGTGGCACAAGTGGTGCAGGTGCTGCGGCTGCTGCAGCTGTTGCACCCTCAACGTCGTCGTCTTCAGGCACATCTCTGTCAGCAGCCGAGCGGCGTCCGTCTTGGCGTCTCAAGTTGGATGCAGGCTCAAAGGTATGCACACAACAACCAACAACCAACAACAACAACCAACAAACAACAACTCAACTACCCAACTGACCTTTAATCGAACCGAACTTAAAACAACTATCAATTGTTACTATATCTCACAACAACTATTTCGACTTGCTTTCAAAACAAAAACAGTGTGCGAATTTTTGTCGTACTTTGAGTGTAGCATGTTTTTTTTAGTGTTAGTCTATTTAAATGTTTAAAGCGTACGTATTTGAAAGGCTTCGGTGTACCGAAGTTGCGTATACCCTTGCAAAATGTACTTCATCTATTTGGGACGGGTCTAAACTTTGCATAGCCATAACTTTGTCGAAAGTGAGTCGTTTTTCAAAAACTACATCTTTTTGATAATGATTTGATCTCTAGTTTATTACCACACTTAAAATTGGAAATGCGATTCTGGCTCGATTTTCATGTTAAAACAATACTCTCAAAATGTGCTAGTTGGAACGAATTTTGTGTTTATCTTAGCTTGATCTCTCAATTAATACTGCATTTACATTATTTTGTGGGCCATTCGCTTACTAAATTTGTTACTTTTGCTAGCTTGTATATATAACTCATAATATTTTGCTCTCATATCTGCTAATTAAAAATATGTAAGTTTTGCAAGGGCATATACATATATAGATTGAATGGATTTCAGTCAGCAATTTGTTTGCTCGGTCTACAATTAGGCTCTTTTGTAATGTAGGTTTTACATTCTGTTTTAATTTATTAATTTTTTTTTTTTAGTTTTTTTAAGTACTATATTTGGTTTTAAATGTTGATTTATTTTTGCTCATTTTGTATGCCTGTTTCAATTGCAATGCATCTGCATTTAGATGTCTGTAACTATCCTATGTATATAAATAAATATATATGTATGTATGTATTTATGTATGTTTTATTGTAGTACCTTAAACAATATACCATTATGTATGTACATTATACTACTTATTCTATCGGAAACATGATATCGCCTAATGAACATTATATTGTATATATAGCATACATATACATGCATATATGTGCCTTCCACCATGGATGTTGTCATTAAATAATGCTTATTAACTATTTGCTATGTTTGGCTTGCTTTCTAATTTGACAAAATATTTTGTTAAAATTTTTTATTAATACTTTATATATGAAAAGTTGAATAAGAGAAAACTAAAGTATTGAAAAATTGGTTTTTGTGGGCTATGGAAAAAGTATTTGTATAGGGTTTGAGATCGAATATAATACAATCTTATTGCTCTTTTAATACTTTTTAAATGATCTATTTAAACTTAAACTGATATTATTTATATTCAATAGGGTATAAATATTAGTTTCTTTCTTTTGTTTGTTAGCCAATTGCATGCAAATCTAATTAAAATATAGTCAAAAAAAAAAACCGTAAATATTTCAAAAACAGCTGAAAAGAAAGTTTGTTCAGAGCAAAAAAATGTCCCCTAAATATATAAACGGTGTCTGGATTATTGACTACTAAACGTGTACTACTAAATACATAATTGTTGCCGCTGATTTTCGTAAACTCGCATTGATCTAATCCAATTGAAATGGATACCAATAACCAACAAATAAAACAACATTACCAGCATAGCTTTTTTTAATAGCAACAAAACACATGCACACAAACAACAAGAAACAAGAACAATCTGAATTTAAGAGGATTACCATACCAAATTGAACTTTATGTGACGTAACTCTGCATGAGCCCTGTCTAATACTATGCTAATATCTTGTGCAGTTCAAGCTGGAGGATATTACCAGCGGTGGCACCTACCCGCCCAATCAGAGCACCATAATACCAAGCGCACCGGCCGTTATGGCCGCTGTTAACTTGGCCAGCACAGCGGGCTCGCAGCGTCGCATCAGCAGTGGACCCAATGCGCGTAAGTTGGCTTATGTTGAAAATATACAATTTTAGTTTTGTTAATCGAATCTGAGTTGCTTGCAGTTAATGCTTCCAATCAATCGCTCAACTCGGTGGGTCGTCCCGTGTCAGCGCCCAGTGAGAGCACCAATAATAGCGCCTATGTGACGCCACCAGCACGTCGATATGAGGCATCAACGATGGCGTCATCTGCCACAACGACAACTGCCACGACAGCCAACAACTCTGCGTCGACTGCATCCAGTGCCAACCATGCAACGGCCACCAGCCACGATGATAAGGGTAAATCACACAGCACACCAGCCACACATTTATACACACACTGAAAACTAATCCAATTCGTGTCCAACAGATAACGACAAGGAGAACGATAATCGCACACAGACTGTCATACAGCGTCGACGCAAGCCGAAACGCCGATCCACCGGCGTTGTGCATCTCGATATGGATGTAAGTGAATCCTCTATCTCTGGCTCCTACTAATTGCCCGGCCATTTGTCAAATTAAATGAGCCGTGAGCGGTCGCATGTCATTTATATTTAGCATGAAACGCTAATGAGTCTAAAACTAAATTGCTTAAATCACTTCTTTTTTTTTTTTGGCTGCAGGAACTCGAGCAGGAGCGTCAAAATGAGACGGCCAACAATGACAAGGAGGATAAGGATAGAGGGGTGAGTCTAGAAACAAAAAAAAATATAAAAACTAGCCTGTTTCAAATTGCTATTTCCATAAATAATTTACTCGGCTTGTATTCAATTATTGTTAAATGTTGTAAATAGCCGAATCTGAAAACAAAATTTAAATTTAAGCCATTTAAAAATAGTCTTAAATTCAAAGACTTTGAAACATGCGAACAATTCGCAGAATACCGTAAAATTTTTCTTTTCTTATTTTCCCTTTCAACAATACTTATTCTACGAAATGGCAATTCGGAACATGGCTAATTATATATTTTTAATTATTTTGCTATACCTACAACAACAACAAGAACAACAACAAATACAATCGGAACAATATATGTATTTAGTGCATAAATATTTTCACACCTTGAAAATATTGGGCTCAAATTTGTAGCTGGCCCAGTTGGCTTTCTTCTTTTTCCAACAGCTTGTTTGTTTGTCTTTTCTATCTTTAATTGCGTCGTCGATATTGCACCTGAGACACACACGCAGAGATATACACATCCCCCCGCCCCCCCTTCGGTTACCCCGCAAGACACACTTATTCGTTCGTCACACCTTGTCACAATTTTAGACATTCCCGTGCGTCCTTCAAAGTAGCTGTGGTGTGGCCTGGTCTTTGCTCTGTCTGTTCCAATTAGCGAGCGACCCATTTGTGCGAAATGAAAAATAATGAAAGAAAAATTATGATTGCCATTAGTAGAAGAAGCAGCAGCACCAGCAGCAGCACCAGCAACAGCAGCAGTGAGAAGACAGAGAAGAGAGAGAGAAGCGAGAATGCGACGAGTGTGTACACGTCGCATTGTGAATGCCATTGCTCCAATTTGTGTGGATGATAAGTGCGGCAGATATTATTATTGGGTGCATTGCTCAAGGTAATATTTTGCAAATCCTTTCATGGCCGAGGTCAAAACTATTAGTGCACATCCAATTTGTGACAATATTTAAGAGATATTTGGATTTGCAGCGAACCTGTTAACAATTTATTCAAACATTTTGACTCAAGTGTCGCATGTTGGCCATTAATAAAAATGTCACATTTTCTAAATGCATTTATGTCATTTTGCATTCAGCGACTACATTCAGCAGACAGTTTGTCTGCTCGTGCCGTCTCTCAATCTGACTGGCTTTTAAAAAAACACATACATATATATATATATTATATATATATAGTCGACTATTAAAACTGATTTGATTTCTTATTTTGCGATTTGTTATTATTATGTTTAGAACATTGATTGATAGTTTTTGAGAAGGTTATATTCAATCTGTTTGTTGTTATGATTTCTATATATAAATGTGCATGAGAATACTGTCTACTCTGAGCATTCTCTTTGAAAATGTTCTACAGATCGCTTTGATATCACAACCACTAGAAAGAAACTATGCTTTGCAGCCCTAGTCGCAGACATGTAGTCGCCTCCGCTAAATCTGTTTTTGACTAATCGTGTCAAAAATTGAGGCTGATTGACGATGTCAAGTGTTTCACGACACTGTACATAAAGTATACGATTTACGTATATACTTGCATGATTATTGCTGTATGGCTATTAAACACTTTCACAATGCGCTTTTTCACACAACAAATTGCCCATTTAGAAAAGCCGCACAACCCACCATTAGCAGCAACCAAAACACAAATAACAACAACAACAATAATTATAGTCGAAACAACAATTCACACATCGCTCACACGTACATTGAACTTTGTTTTTGTCGATCTATGCCCCCCTTTAGAAACTGAACTGAGTATGTTCAACATTTGCGTTGCATTTGTCGCTAAATTTATACATTTTGCAATTTTTGCATTTTGTGTGTAGTTTTTCGTTTTAAGCAGCATTTGTTTCCTCATTCCCTGCCGGCTGCACTTTCTATTTAGGAATATAGGAATATGGTTGGTTAGGTGCGGGGAGGGGAGGGGAACAGGCTAATGCCTCCGTCATGTGCTATATTTAGTGAGAGAGGGGAGACTATAGAAAACTTTTATTTTTATTTATTTTTTTGTTTTTCGTTGGCCTAGTTATGATTGTGTACTTCTAGGGGAGCAAAACGGTTGCAACATTAAATGTAAATTTAGCTCGAATGGTGCAGCAAACACTTCGCTTCTCGTGCCACACTCTCTCTCTGTCTGTTGATGTCTCTTCGCTGAGTGTGTTTAACACGTGTCAATGACTGTTTCGCCTTTTGGCCCAGTTGCCTGCCAGGGAGCTGCCGGCCTAGCTGACTGCATCAGCTGACCCCAGCATAGTTTATACATTTGCGTCTCGGACATTGGGCCAAATAAAAGTGTGCGATTTACTAAATTTAGCTAAGCAACACAGCACACAGGTGAAATATATAAACAAATACACACTCGGTTTTTGTGTGCGCAATTCAAGTGAAACAGAAAAAAAAGTCCATTGCTGCCAAGGCTTCTAGTTCCTCCCTCTTGCAACTCTTTGTTTTCACATTTTACAGGCACACACTCACACACGCACACACACTCACACACAGGCTCTTATAGTATTAATCTTCCAATAGTCTTCAACGGGTTTTCCGGCATTCGTTGTTCGGTTCTCTTAGAGAAGATCTCTTAACATGATTTGTCTCTCTTGCGTTTGACTATTTTCTGATCGTGCGCCAAGTTTTATTCGAATAAAACATTTGAATACTTTGCTTGGATCGCACAGTTGAGTTTTATACGTCTAACGCATCACACACATCATCAGTCAGAGCAACAATTTGAACAGCAGCTAAACCACAATCGCAATTCAACTACAATTATTTATTATAACTCTTGAAGTAAATTACAATGAGTGCATTGACAAAAACAAAAAAAAAAAACCAAAAACCACAACAGCTGTCAAACGTGTCAAATACTTGCAATATTCGCTATCAGTTTACACAGAGATGAGATTCGAGACCGAGACTCCAGAGACACTTGGGAGTCGCCACAAGGGGCAACATTGTGTGTGTGGTTTTTCAACCGAACATCTTACCATATTTAGAGAATTGCGCACACGTTTTTAGTAGTTTCTTTTTTTTTTGTTTTATGGTATTTTTGGGCAGTACAAGTTTTTTTTGTGGCTTTGAGACGCTTTATATGGTCAAAAATATTTTGATCAGTTTTTAATTTGATTTCGTTCGTGCGCGTATTAAAGGTTAAAAGCCAACGAGTCGCATTGAAGAAGCAATCAACGAACGAAAAGTGGAACATATGTATTGGAAACATTTTCATTTTCATTTCAAAATGTTTCCCATTAGTTTTCTTTATGCATTCTGAAAACCCATAATTCTGTGTTTATTATCTAAATTCCATTTTATAATTCCAAAAAACTTGAGCCCTGATCTTGGCATCAATTTATTGCCATGACACAACAAAATAAAGTGTATTTCTGAAACATTTTACCCGAAATTAGCCAAGATATTATTGCGGAATTGTTACAAAGAAAAAGATTCTCAAAAATATTTCGATTTTGTTGCGAGTGGAAAATACGATAAAAAGTTATAGCGTTCATTCATGGACGAGATCATTATAGAATGAGATGGCTTATTATATGAGGCAATAGGCGGCTCATAAATTAAATGCACTCGACATTTTGATTAAATGAAACATTTAGATACCCTGTGCATGAGTATGATGGGGTATATGCAGACTAAATGAATTCTAATTATATATTTATATATTCTCTTTAAAAGTATGTACAGAAATTGTCCGAACATTTTGTACGTGGTATGCCACATTTGATCAATGCTGAACATGCAATCAATTTGCCTGCTGTTCATTTCGTGTCTGCCTCTCTTGACTTGCGTGGGCTAAGCATCAACTTAAGACATTAACACCGCACAGTAAATAAATAGAACACGACATGGAGTCCCGGCCTTTGGATTAGTGTTTCTTGTTGTATTTTCAATATTTTAGTATAAAACATATAATCGAAACAAAACAGCAGGCAGACCTCCCCAAAAATGAAAACAGACAAAAACCAACACACAAACACAACCACACCTAGAGAAATGAAGGAAACGCTTTTTTTCTACCGCATTGCGGCAATTTAAAACAGAATGTCAAAATTTATGGCTTGACGTCATTTTCCACATCAATTGAGAGAGAGCTGATGGGCAGAGAGGGGGTGGAGGGAGGCACCATATGTTAATATTGCGTTTTCCATTTTGCATTTAAAGATCGTTGTGCTTTGTACAGGAACTTTGTTTGTTTTTCCACTTTTGTTTATGCCAAAATGAAAATAAGAAGCCAAGAAAAATCAAATTAAACTTACAAACATTTTCATGAACGCGCCTCTTGATTTTCAATTATACATTTTTTTTGTTTTTTTGAAATTGGAAAACGGTAAATGGAAAATGCCAAAAGTTTTGGGTAAACTGATTGAAGCGTAATTGCAAATTTGCGTCTTTGATTGATATGTGAGATGTGGCAAATAGAAGACTACAGTCGAATTTCGACTGTTTATTGATTTCTTGATTATCAACTCAATAGAGTCATTTCTTTGTAGCTTGTGTGTATTTGTTGAGCGTGTCTGAGTCCCTTTCGTCATGTCCTTTCGCTCAAGACCACGCACACAGGCGCCGCTGCCCAGTCGACGGCGTTCCTTATCCTCCAGTGCCAGAGCCGGGGGCAGCTCCTCGTCGGCTGGCAGCGCCTACAACTACAATGGCAGCAGCTATAATTCGAGGCCCCTAAGCACTGGTTACTATCCAAGCAGCAGCGGTGTCAGCAACACCAGCTATCAGAGCCCCTACACAAGCATCTACAGCTCCAGGGACAGTCTGTATGGTGGCGGTGCGAGTGGCGGGGGCAGCGGTGCTCGCAACTCTGCGTCTGCCTACTATTCGAATGGTAATGCGAGCAATCGTTATGATTACTCCAAGTATTCACATCATCAGCCATATCAGCTACATCAGCATCAGCATCAGGGGGCAGGCAGCTCCGCATCATCCGCTTCCACATGCTCTTCATCCGCTGCTGGCAGCGCCACTAAAAGCAATCATAGAAACGGCAGCTACTACCAACTGCATCAGGTGCAGGCTTCCTCCTCAGCAGCATCAGCAGCAGCAGCTGGCAATCATCATCATCATCACTACCACATCGTTGTTGGCAATGGCTATGGCAAAGCATCTAAAGCATCTTCTGCTCTTTCCAACTCCTCCAACTCGAACTCATCATCCTCCACGGCCTCCACAGCGAGTGGTGGCTACGACAGCTCTCGTTATGGTTATCCCAGCAGCTCGACGTCATCATCCTCGGCCTATGGCAGCGATCATCGCTATGTCAGTCCCTATTCCAGTAGCTATGATAATGGTGTGACCACCGCATCGCTCAGCTTCAAGTCACCCGGGCTGAGCGGCTCCAATTCGTTTAAGGGTTCAGCCAGAGAGCGTCTTCTCAAGTCCAAGTCCCTGTCCGCCTCGAACAGCAGTCTCAATGCGGGCAACAGCAGCACACCAGCAACGAGTGCGGGCGCCACCGTGGCAGCCATTGCTGCCACACGCTCCAACTCACTGCGGGAACAGGAGCGCAAGTCGCGCAATCGCACCCGATCCCGCAGTGCCGCACAGCGTTCAATCAGCGCATCCTCCGAGAAGAGCGAGGGCTACGAAGTAAGCAAAGGGCAAATTATATCGATTGTGAATCGTTCTTGTTGTTGTTGTAGGCAGCAGGAATTTATTATTTAAATTGAATGTGGATTATACTTAAATCTCTTGTCATCATCTACCCTTGCAGAGCGGCAGCGAACGCACCTCTCGCTCTCGCACCGGGAGCACAGCGACGACGAGCACCGCCAGCGATTCAAAGAGTTCGAACAGCAGCAGCGACAAGGCGGAGAACGGAGATGGCATCGACTACAAGGCGCTCTGGGAGGCGGCCAAGTAAGTATTTGGCAAAAGAGATACAAAAACTGTGGGCAAACTAGCCAGCTGGTTTCATTTCTCCGAAATGTATATTGTGAACTCACGCGTATCTATTTTGTAGAGTGGAGAACGATAAGCTGAAGCAAATGCTCAAGCAGAAGGACGATGAAGTTGTTCAATCGCGTGCGACGCTCGAGCGATTTGCCAATGCCGTAAGTAAACAGCTAAACAGCTAAACCTGCCACATGCCACAAGCCCACAAGAAAATACTCTTTTTTTTTTTTGTAACAACAATAGCCAAGCAAAAGCAAAACAATTCTCTCTCTCAGCAGCAGTAACAAAAACAGAACAACAACACACAAACAAACCACAGTTCTCTCTCTCTCTCTCTCTTTCTCTATATCTCGCGCTCTCTTAATCTATCCCTGCGTCTGTTTATGCCCAGGTTCTCACTCTTTATCTCAAACTATCACACATATTACACATACTCATCAACTATATAGAAAATAAACTCCTCACTTGGCTCAAAATCCAAAAGTAAAAGATGAAAAATACAAATTTTGACGCTTGCCGCTCGCGCTGTGTTCTCTTTCGCTCTCGCTCTGTTTCTCTGTTTCTGATCAATAAATGCCAGTTAAACAAGACACAATATACAATTGAACAACAGTAACAGTAACAGTAACAGTACAAACGTTATCCTATTACTATATACATAGAGTATCAAAATATAGAAATGCCAAAAAATCATTTCACATATTCGCAGACAACTAAAAATTCACTCTCTGAGATTGAGAAGCGTGAAAGAAGAGCAATGGAACGCAAGCTTTCCGAATTGGAAGAAGAGCTCAAGGTAATTACAAATGTGTTCCCGAACCCAAAAACCATATTCTCCCCCCCCATAACAGTTATAAAGTCTTGCGCCTGTATGCTGTTTGTGTTCCTATTTTTTTTTTTTTTTTTTGTTGATGGAAATAAACGTGGAAATGGGTATCGCATCGGTATCGCAACTCGTTTCTTTAGATGCCATCGAACTCACGAGTCCAATGATTTCTGATTTTTCTGCTTTTAATTTGGCCTTTATATTTATTGTCCAAAAACAGTTTTTTGCTTAAGCCGCATGTTAAAGGAGCTGGCTGAAGCGGCCTCCTTTACTCAAAACCTACGCTTTGTTTTATTTACACTTTTGATGCCCTTTCCTTTTAACGGTTAATTCCAAATGCAATAACGTTAATATTAATACCGATATAGCCGCACTTCGTATCGTTTGATTTCCCAATCCTCTCAGCCAAGTTGCGCACCCAGTTGAAAAGGCAGCGATATCGTAATCTATATATATTTACATATATATATTTTTTTTTAATTTTCTCGCTTAACATTTTTGGCCACCTTTGCAATTTCACTGTGGATGCATTTCAACGGCACAGTTGCAATTGTTTATTAATATTATTATCAGTTATAGCTGCACATAAACTGCCGCTTTAAATCGTTTCTTTATTTTTAATGAACCCACCCCAAAAAGATTTAAAATGATTGTCATCTCAGTACATATCTCTCATATTAAATCATATCATTATGTGTACAAAATATGCTCATCGATTGTGTTTTGTTTTCGTATTCACATCAACTCTTCAACACTGCAACTTCAACTTCATCTCATCAACTCACACGTGCATCATTGTTGTTGTTCCACTGTCAATTGTCATTTGTCATTTCTCATTTGTCCCATTGTCACTGTCACTGTCACTGTCACTCTCACTCTCTGTTTCGTCCAACATTTGTGTTATGATTTGGTCACACTATCCATGCGCTTATACGTTATACGTTACACGTTACACGTTTTACGTTTTACGTTAATCATTTGGCGTGCTCTTTTTGGTGCGTCACATTCTCTTTAATCTTAACGAAATGCGCTCATTTCAAAAACACAAAAAATCGCTCACTCAAATTTTGTTTTTCTTTTTTCTCTCTCTCTCTTCCCACGCGCGCCTCATCCATCGAATCGAATCGAATCGAATTGAAACGCAATGAATATATTGAAAAACAAAAAAACAAACAAACATATACAACAAATACAAATACAAACATATATATATGTATGTGTATGTTTTGTTTTGCTACTTTTTTTCTTCTTTCTCCGCTGTTTGTTGTTTTGTCTTTTTAGCTGTTGCAGAAGCTAAAGACTGAGAACGATCGTCTGCGTGCCGAGAATCGTGCCCTCACTCGAGTCGTCTCTAAGTTGACCACATCGGCACAGAGTCAGCTAGCCAAGACCAAATAGGCGTCAACAACAGAACAGAACGCATTCAATATTTATACAGTTAATTAGCGCACCCAGCACCCCAGCAAAATACAAAAAAACCAAACAAAAAAATTATCCTAAAATTAAAATATAAAAAAAAGTGCAAATTGCAATCGTAATCGTCATCGTTTCTAAATACTCGTACAGCATACATATTTACATAAAGCATAACGTACACACGCCTACATAGTTAAATTCTTATGTATCACAGTCTAGCTTAAAGATACCGCTCGAAGATGTACTAGCTATGACCGATCGATCAAAGCTTATATGGATACTATTATTATTAATACTCTTATTATTATATAAAAAGAAAAAAATCATTTGCATTGTTATATCGAGCGCAACGTATAACAATAATTAAATGTATTTGTAGCTATATGAAGTTTACACAGCTTTGTTTTTGGGGCACTTTGTTTTTTTTTATCAACACCAAACATCTGTTTGCCAGTTTATATTTTTGCATTGCTAAAGGAAATTTATATAAAATAGAACACAATACATTTGTACTATGCAACAATAGGTAAACATTTTTGCGAATTTACATAAATATATAAATATATATATATATATATTGTACTTAGAGGTAATCTAGTCTATATCAGTCAAAATATCGGTAACAGAATATGACACGACATATGCCAACAAATATATACCCACAAAACATATATATCGCGTATAATCGCGCTTAATCAAAAAGTAAATACCACATCAGAAATAAATCTCATCGAAACTCAAGGATATTGCTCAACAATTGCTGCCCACCACCCAAAAACAACAATAACAACAACTATAGAAACAACATCAATAAGAACGAGGCCCGAGCCGCAACATCAGCAGCGAAAACATTAAATTTCTTCTTTGTGATTATGCAGTGAGCTTTAATGGTAATTGTTGTTCAACCACACTGACTAAGAACCTGCGTCCCATATGAGCTGGCTGTTGTTTTCTTGTTGCATAATACGAATTAAAAAGAAAATATATATATACAAATTTATTAAAAACTATCTAAGCGATATCTGAGTTCTAAATGTGTTTCAAAAATTATACAAAATTTATTATGAATTATTATGAAACTATGTTTAAGATCCGTTTGAAATCTGAATTGTGATTTTAATGCGCTGTTTTTGAAACACTTGATTGTATATACCTATCTAAATGTAATACCTATAAACTATAACTATACTACATAATAATATATAGATTGTTCCCTTGTTGTTAATATTGTTACAAACAGTTTTGTGCTGAAATTTTATACTCTTGTGTGTGTTTCTTCTCATCTATTTACCAGAGTTACCAATAAAAGTTTGCCCATTTGTCTATCCTTTTAAAGAGCTATTTATTGTTTGTTGTCTTTATTGCCATATCGCCCTTGTGGGTTTTAAGTTCTCTATCACAGAATTGTGTTCAGAATCAGGAATTCGCTTATCGTACACCTGTCATAACCATATCTTCAGTCTTAAGCAGATCATGACAAAAATGATCACATCAAATTATTTTTCAATTGTTTTCTTTGTGGGTGAAGTGCATGTTTTTCATTTATGTCTGATTTCTAGGGCGCTGTTCAGTTTTCAGATTCTTCTAGGCTCTTTAAGATATACTTTTAACTAACTGTTTGTTTGTTGATCTTGTTGTTGTTGCTGATGCTGAGATGCTTTCAGTGAGCCGCAACCCCAAACTAAACCGCATGTATTTTTTTTATATATTTTTTTTAAAGCCCTTTATAATCTATAATCCCCATATTTGATTCGAGTCTATAACTCAATGTGCTGTTGCGCTATTTGTTTTTATAATCTTTTATATTTGGTTACTAATTTGATTGCACTTTCTTTCATTGAAATATAGCAACTTGATGTCTACAAGTCGGATAATCATCGCCTGAAGGAGGAGAACGCAGCGTTGATAAGAGTAATTAGTAAATTAAGTAAATGAAATTATGTTTTAACTTAAATTTACTCAACAAAAACAACAACAACAACGGCCACAAGGCAAGCATCAATTTGAGTCAACAAAAAGCTGGCAACACGAAATCAAATCAAATCAAATCAATTAAATTATCGAAAGAAGAGTTCTGTTTATTATTATTGTGTGATTATTAAATGATTATTATTTTTGTGTGCTGAGAAGATGGAAACCATGTTTCGAAACTCGTTGAAAATGTTTTGTTTTTTTTTTTTCAATTTTTCTCTTCCAAAATAAAAAAAAAAAATGGAATGGAGCATGATGTATTTAATGTCAAATTATATAAATATACATTTATACAAAGTAGAGAAAATTATGAACATCAAAAATATATAATTATAGTTATAGATGTTGTCTAACGGTTAATTTCAAGCAAAAAAAATCTATAAAAAAAAGGAAGAAGAAAACTGAGAACATATTCATCAAATGAGCCCTAGTTACAGATTAGTTTAACTATATAATGCATACATATAAACATATATTTTTCATATATACATATAAATTATATACATACACACACACACACACATTTGGAAAACATACAGCTATAAAAAGTGAAAAGAACTATTTGTGAGAAATGTTTTGAAACCAGCCCACGCAACGTCAACTTACTAATTATTATAAAGCTGTAATTGTTTTTTTAATTATTATTATTATTATTATTATTTAAAACTCATTTAGTCCTAAACATCAATTTGAAACCGATCAGTGGATATATATGTATATATATACACACATGAGTTATGCATATGCAACAAAAAAGAACAGCAGCAACAATAATAATAATAATAATATCTTTATATATGCGCATATGTATTTGTAAAATCAGCTCGTATAGAATGAGAGATACTATTTATATATAAATATATCATGTATTTTAAATGTCCCATGGCGCTGTAGCAAACGAGTTAATAATTATTATATATACTCCTAACTATATGGTACACATTATAATCGTTGCATATGCATATACACACGATTTGATTCATTATGTTTAATTTTATTTGTTCACTTTGGAAGCGTATTATATATCGTATCGTACTATACTTATTTGACTTTTCGCTTATACACTACATACATACATAAATACTACATAATTGTAACGAATATACACACACACACACACACACACATACACATGATCATATATCGCATATTTCTGTTATTTATTAAATTCGTTTAAGAGATTTTTTTGTGTTACTCGTGATGAAAACGATAAACAACAAAGCAAACAAAACAAAACAAAAAAAAAAAAAAAAAGAAGTGAATTGTGTAATATGTAAAATTGTGAGAAGATATTTAAGAAAATTTGATTCAAATACGAAACTTAATAAATGTGATCGCAAAGTAACATTAAGTCTATTCATTTCTAATGTCAATGGCCAAATCAGTTAGAAGAAGAGAGCATTTATTATTCAGCTACAATCCAACATAATTTTAAGCGGTTGAACTAAGAAGATCTGATATATATATATTGTGGCAGCTATTAGTTACGCCAAGCACTGAAATGATGCATGAAAATGTTTTATATATACAATGGGCACTAATCGACTGATTTGAACAATTATTTGGAGCGTTGCAAATAATGATACATTTATACTTATTAAAAAAAGAATAGGGTATTCTAATAGCTATATTCAGTCGTAAAGCTGAATAGCACGTTTCTGCCTTAAAAATCAAAAGATTTAATATGGTGATTAAAGAAAAAGGCAGACGACGACAACGCCCAGCTCATATTAATATTGATGTAATGTTTTTTGAATGTTCTAAGTAGTTATAGGTTGTCAGAAGGGTTAATTGAAATGATCTGTGATATATTCCATCACGTCATGCATTTGTACTTAATACAACGAAGTTAAAATGTAAGTAAAATATATATAGGGTGCTTTTGGCTTGTTGAACAATAACTTAGTATTTGTATGGTTGTTGAACCATCAATTGTGGTTGACTAGCCTTACATAATTACCAGGGAACGTGTGCCTAATAACTTAAACGGCTTTTTTATGGCATAGAATAATAACCTAATATATGAATTCAGATTTCATAAAGTTAGTGCTACCTAATAATTTGAGAGTTCTCGTTGAAACTCGTGGACTAGGGGCAAGTACCTCATCTGATCTCTGATGTCTGACAAGTGAAAAATTAAGTTTCAACCTCAAACCAGCACACGTCACTTATCATAAGACTGGCATGGAGAAACAGGAGTGCTCAACATAGAGCCCATAGTGCTTATGCGCTGCTCTTCTCTGCTCTGCGAGCAACTCAACTCGGAGTCGGCAGCAGTTGCGGCGTCTCAAAGCCCAAAATGAGTGGAAATGCTGTGAGCGAGGCTTAAAAACGTTTTCAGCAACCGAAAAATGGTTAGTTTCGCTCAACGCGTTCACACGTTAACAACGTCCGTCGTCGGCAGTGTTTACTGGGCTCAAACGGCACAGCATTCAGTTTGATCAAATTTGTATAAAACCGTCAGTTATTGTAACGCCGCAACGCACAATTAAACCAAATTTATATAAGTTTTTGCCAAGTTGTGAAATTAATCTCTGATTAATCTCCGTGTTAAGTGTTTATTTCATAAATAAGACAAGCAACCCATCGATTTTAAACGGAAAATTCAAAAGTAAGCGATTACATAATGGGGAAAGGATATTAAACCGACTCAAATACGAGAAACACCTACACAAAAAAACAAAAAAAAAAAAAGACTCAAGCCAGTTGTTGTTGTTATTGTTGTTGTCGCCTGGAGACGAAGAAAAACTTTCGCTTTCACCGAAGCGCCGCATTGAGCTTTTCTTGGAACAAACTACAACAGCTGCGGTGTTAGCCGTGGCCAATACATCATTTGAGCCGTATGGCAAGTAGTGCTATTTGTCGTTTGTCGGGCATTTGTTAATTATATTCGGGTGATTCTTCAAAAATTGTTTTGACTGGAACTGGAACTGGAATGATTAACATTTTTCTATTTCTTTTGAAGGAGTGAACTTTTTTTAAGCTTTTTATTTTTCTTGTAATTAGCTACGCTTTGTTGTGGTTCTGAGACCGACTTTAATTATACAAAAAAAAAAAGATGGTCTATTGATTTAAATCATTTTTTATAATTGGCGTGCAAAACGTAACAATTCTCTTTTAAATGTTTTCGCTTGTTGTGTTTTGCTGTGTACACATGTATGTAATACTTATATCTACAATCCACGATTGGTCAATTGGTTATGCGGATTGCTCAAGCAACAAAGTCAATTAAAATTACGCGGTAGTGGGTAATACGTTGTACGTTTCAGTTTTTGAATGTTAGGCCAAAAGGCGCATTCGCTGCAAGGTCTCGTCCAGCACCGAAGTTAGCTAATGCCATAAAATAAGTAAATACAGCACAATCACAGACACACGCAATGTGTAGTCATTAGTAGAGGTATTTAAGTATGTGTGAATTTGTTAAGTTATGAATACGTAGATATGTTTTGCATTAATATTCACTGGCGAACACAATTTGGCAACTGCATTAACGGTCACACCATTGTGACCTCGAAACGGACACCATTCGAATACAGATATATGTATATACAGATCCATAATAATACTAGATACATTTGGGGCTTTTATTGAGGCTTCTCGATCAATAAACGTCTTAAATTCGTACACTCTTCGATGTGATGTGAATTTACAATTTATCAATGACAAGTGGTATTCATTGTTCTTAGTTAGTTTTGTTGTAGTTGATCATAAAACCGCATTCTAATGATGTGAATATAAACTAATTGATCACGTGGCCGATACTGCCTGGAACGCAACTTGAGCAATTTGTGTTCATGTACAATACATGCATATTGAAAGTGTGACACAAAATTGACTTACGAATAACGCTAAGTGCTCTAAAGTTGATTCAAGTCAAGTGGGTGGTGCTCACAGTTTACAGTTTGCAGTTTGCAGTTTGCAGTTTGCAGTTTACAGTTTACTTTACATCAATATCCGGCATGTAAATGTTTGAGATCGCACCTAAACCAAGCCGCAGTCAGCAAATAACTCGGGAGCTTGAAAGCTTTCAATGTTAAAACGTGTTTTTGAGTCTTTTCTTTCGCCTGCTCGCTGGCTGTAAACTCTCTCTGTGCACCCCTCCCCACTCGCTCCTTTTAGCAGTTATACTTTGGTTTGTCAGATCTTATGCTATGATGTAACCGCATACACACACACACACGCACGCACACTCTGGGCTAATTGGCGGAGCGGATGCAGAAAGAGCGTGCAAAAGGAAATACAAATTGCACGTCGCAAGCGCAGCTTGAGACGCAACAAGCTCTCACTCTCTTTCTCTTTCTATCTTTCACTTACCTCCTGCCTTCTCCTGTTCGACATGTTATCGTGGTGTGACCCAAAAACGCAATCGTCAATATGCTTGCGAGTAACTACACACACACACACACACACACACATGCACACAGTTTGGGTGCTGGTAACTGGGCATAGTCAAAGCAGGGCATATTACGAATTTCGTTTTTTAACAGCGTCTGCCCCGCCACATTGAAATCTGTGTGAAGGCCATGAAAGTGAAAAATAAAAAAATTACAACCAAAAAAAAAAAAAAAACTTGATTTTGGCCAGAGGACGGTGGAGGAGTATGCTCATAAACAGTTTGTTGACCAAAAATGCTTACTTTTCTCTCGTTCAGCCAATTAATATGGCTTTTATTATGCTCTATGTGTGTAGTACTTATTCATTTCGGTGAGTGTGTGTGTGTGTGCGTGTGTACGTGTGTGTAAGCACAAAGTCAATTGGCCATAGCGGGTTACAGTGACTGCAAGCAGTCATCATCTTTTTGGCCCGACCTGCAGTGATATAATCGGTTGTCTTTTCATTTTCGTCTTTCCACTGACCTTCGTGCGAGTTAAATGGGTTTTTGAGCATGTAGAAATTTAAATCATACGATGATCGTAAGATGTTGACGGTGTTTTCTTATGCAAAACGGATGGTCCCTTCACATTTGGGTCATGGTCAATGGACCGGTGCTTCGATAAAAAGCTGTTCATCTGTCATTCAGCAGTTAATCGGTCTGCTGTGGCAATTTTAATATGCAGTCAGCTCTATTTTTAATCAATTTGCCAACGCCACAATGGATAAACTGCTTATACACAAATATATTAATATATATATTTGATATATATATATATATATTTATAGATATATATCAAATGATTCGACATCGACTAATGCTCCTCAGTTCAAGCCCACATAATAAACTCTAACTTGAATTTGAACCACTCACAGTCAGAGCCATTGACCCAGGTCCGAACCACACACAATAAATTTTACTGCACCAAGTGGGCTTTAATCATTGACTTGTAACATTTGTATATGCATTGTGTTTTTCTATATGTGTGTGTGTGATTGTTAATGTAGGTTAGTAAACAGTAGTATTGGTAGCAGACTCAACAGAGTTCGATGAATTTTAACATTTTGGGCTTCAGAGGCCAGTGGCTGACCAAGGCCAACCACATAATTAGTGTTTTATTTGACTGTACGCTGCATTGTGCATATTACGTATACGTAATAATTAGTTTAAGTCTTGTTATACTCTACTTTAATTAGCATACAGCTCAATTGAGTTGTGTGAAGGTGTGTTACATCCCATTAATTATATATACCACTAATCAGTATTGCAATGTCAATCTCTCAACTGAAGTCTTTTGCATTTTAAGTATATTTTTATCTTTGGTTTGCTAGGGTATTTCATCTTCGTCACTTCACTGACAACTCGATTTTCTTATGCCATTAAGTGGTTTCTAACGGCAACTGACAGAAGTTCGTGGCTCTAAAAGTATAATTCGTTTATTCTATGTTTTCGATGAAATCACTTTGTGCTCAATACCAGTCAAAATGGTTATTTAATCATTTAATTGCATTTGTTTTTAGTGTTGGAAACTGGGGTCATGCAAAAACCGGAACTGGACGGATCGGCATCCAATGGCGAAGACTACGATCCCTATGTGTGCTCGCTGAGTCCAGAGATGAAGCTGCTGGCCAAGGAGGATCTGCACGAGGATGACAATATCAGGCGACAGGCACTTGCCCAGTTCCGCGAGTGGATTGCAAAGCATCCACACATCAAGAAGTGCCGAACTGATGCCATTTTCTTGCTGCGTTTTCTGCGTTGCCGGAAATTTTCCGTACCATCGGCATGTGAAATGCTCGAGCGTTATTTGACGCTCCGGCAGGTAAATCCACACTGGTTCCAGAATTTGGACATCAATGATCCGGCCATCAATGAGATCTTTGATGCCGGCTATTTGGTGCCGCTACCCCAGCGCGATGCCGCTGGTCGCAAGGTGATCTTCTCGGTGGCCGGTGCATTTGATCCGTACAAGTTCACCTCCGCGCAGATGGTGCGTGTGCACAGCATGATCTGTGAGTCGCTGCTGGATGAGGAGGACTCCCAGGTGTCGGGTTATGTTCACGTCAACGATGAGAGCGGCATGAATATGGGCTTTGTCAGCCTGTGGTCTCTGACCGATCTGCGCAACATTGTGAAAACCATACAGAATTCAACACCGATGCGTCACAAAGAGACACATTTTGTGAATATACCCCACTATGCCAATCGTGTCATTGAATTGGCTGTCTCCATGCTGAGCGAGAAGCTCAAGAAGCGTATTATCGTAAGTTGAATATAGCTTAAACTATATAATTACATTAGCTGACTTCTCGTTGTTCATTTTGCCAACAGGTGCACAAGAATGTGGAGTCGCTCAGGTCGAAAATCGATCCTGCCATTTTGCCCAAGGAATATGGTGGAACTGTGCCACTTGCTGATATGATTAAGGAGTTCAAGGCCAAAATACAACAGCGTCGTGCCGCAATTCTCGCCCTGGATGATATGCAAATTGAGATCACCAAGGATTCGGCCAAGTTACTGGGCCATGATAGTGGTGACATCGATGCTGGTGTTGTGGGTAGCTTTAGGAAACTGGAAGTGGACTAGTTCCCTATGTTTAGACAGTAGGTTAGGCTAGGCTAAATCAGAATACCATTGAGACACTTGACAAAAACAAAACAAAACACAAAACACACATCAAAATTGTTGCATGCAACTTAAATTATAAAATACAATTATACACACATATATATATATATATATATATAAAGAGCCGCATCCAATTTGGCAACAAGTACAGATACCGGAAACTGAAAATTGCAGTTCATTTCTGGACTTTTATATATATATATATATGTGCAATTATATCCATGCACTCGACTCTGTGTGCATGCATGCTATTTAAATATATATACATATACATTCTTGTTCAAATGCTTCATTGGATTTTTCATTCATTTAATTGTACCCCTGTTTCAACAGATTCCAATTGTTACTCACAAGAGGTATGTATTTACTTAATCGTTTCTTTTTCAAGTACTTTATGCTACAAGTGCAATTCGAAAATAAGTATTCAGATAGCTATTTGCGATTGCTTAACAAATGGAGTAATGAATGTGGATGTTTAATCAATTTAGAGAACATGCCGTTCTAAGAATAGTGTTTGATATTAGATCTGTTTTGCGGAAGTAATTCGATTAGCGAGTCTATGGGTAACATTAATTATGCGGTTAAGGATTTTATTAGTACAAATATTCAAAAATTATGCTTTATATATAAAAAAACAACGTATTTTTGCTATACAAATCAAATAAATAGTGAAAATTCGGCGTTTAATGTAACTAAAATTGTATCCCAAACCATGAAAAGTTAATGATAAACTTTAATTTGCTATAAAATGCTCAAAATGATTAAAATTGAGATACTGAATCAACACAAATTAAATTAGATATACAGATTGAATACTTTGAACTTTACCTTAAAATATTTGTAAATATATTTTTAAATACTTGAACTTTATTTAAAAATATTTGTATATATATTTAAAGTCATTTAACACCTTTTGAAAGTACTTAGAACTTGAAAGTCTGCTTAGATTTGTAAATTTTAAAAGTAGAAAGATACATTTATGAATATCAGTTAGTTATGATGTAGCGTATTTAGCAGTCGCATAATATAAACGCAAAGAATGATTGTTGTTACTGTAGTTGTTGTTGCAACACGATAACGGTGATACAGACAACGCCGACATGCACGAAGACAGTGACAACAACGACGACGTCGACGTCGATGACGACGGTGAGAGAATCTTATTGCATTTTTGAGCAAGAAAGCGACGACAATCAAAGCTCGAGGTACGAAAGCGTAAAGTTCATGCACATGTGTGTGTGTGTGTGTGTGTGTGTTCTCGTATGTACTAAGTATATGTGTGTGTGTGTGATCATACTTCTTTATATGTACAACTGTACAACTGTACATATGTATTGTAGAGACTTTGCGAGAATGTGTGTCGGCATTTATGATTGTACGCTTTATTATTATGACCGCATACGAAATGATTTCCAAGTTTACATTTCAGTTGAGCGTTGAATCAGCTGGAGAACGGCCAGCGTTGAACGTGGATCGTTGAACGTTGTTTGTTGTTTGTTGTATGTTGTCTCATCTCGAGTTCGAGTTCGAGTTCGAGTTTATTGTTGCTAATTGTTGTGCTAAATGCTTTGCTTCGCCGTACCGGGCTCTGAGCAATGTAAGTGACATCTCGAACATCGCATTGAGCAATTGTTAATAGATTGAGGTCTTCTTGGGAAAGAAAAACAAAAAGAACTTAAGAACTTTGGCACAGTTCTTCGACTTTCTCGTTTGCCGGTTTGTATAAATTTGCAAATAAGTTTGCATTTGATAAAGTGTAAGTGCGACATGAGCCACGCGCGGTTCAAATGATCTGGCAGCGGCATACGGGAGGTATGAGCAATATATTTGGCCCTGTTAGTCACCAAACTGTGTTTGTATAATTGGGTGTGTGAGAGTGATTGTACTTTTCATTATGTGGTCAAAGACTTTTGGCCAAAAGCCGCAGTCAGACAAAAAAGTGAGATTGTTAAGTTTAGCTGAAATATAATATATAAATATGTGCATATTTATATGGAATACTATATGCAATTGAAATCAAGCCGCTAACGGCGCTAAACGCAAGTGAGCAGCCAATTGGCAACTAGGCACTAAAATGCCACGAGCGTCCGGCGCTCAGAGAGATACCGCTGGCGCTAATCAAGCTGTATGAAATCGGAGCAAGCCAAAAGCTTTGCCACTGAACAGCTGTTTGTAAGGCAACCTTATCCAAACGTAGCTTTTTAGTGGCTTGCGCTCTCTCTCTCTCTCCCTCTCTCTATCTCTCTCTCAATCTCTGATAAGTGGAAAGCGCGCTGGAATTATGTGTACTAAAGAGAGAGGGAGAGGGAGAGCGATTATAAGAGAGCGCCAATTGTCCGCTCGTTTATCAATATGGAGTACGAGTCACAGATAACGAATCATTTATATAAATTATCAACTTTTTTTTCCCCATTTACACAATGGAAAACCACAGTGGACAAACGGAGCATTGTGCATTTGACTTGCCAGTCTGTGCAGTGAAGCAGTGGAGTCATCAACTACATAGATCAATATGAACAAACTGCGAACATTGATGCCGGGCCACAATGCCAAAGATTCTGCCCGCAATTCAGTTACCCTGGAGCCGGAGATTTGCTTCCAGATAACCATTGAGACGCATCAGCAAACAGAGAGTGATCAGAGCTTTAAATCTGGGAGCGGTTCGGCTGCGGTTCCAGAACTAAATGTGCACTTAATTGCGGCACGACATTTACCTTCACTGTTCGGCTTTAAGATCGTGCAGGGGTATTTAATAAAGGTAAATATTGAAAGAATATATTATTGATTCCGGAAATGTCTGTATAAAGAAGTTCTCTTTATTTGAATTTTAAAAGTTATGAAAGAGACTTTTTGAGTGTTATTCAAGCAGGTTTAGTTATTTCTTGGAAGTTTTGCTCTATATAAATATTTATTTTTCACACAGGTTAAATTATTTCCCGGCACAAAGCGCTTAGACAGCAGCATTCAGACTAATACCTGGCCAAAATTTAATGAAAATTTCAAGTTTCCCTTAGTGCCTGACATAAAGTAAGTATCTTTAGCTCTGAGGTTAGTAATATTTTCGTGAATAACATTATATCCGACTATCTACAGACCCTCTCTGAAACATGGCTCTGCCTTTGCATCCCGGAGACAGACGCAGAGTCAAAATAATGGAGATTCTTCCACTCTCGACGAACTCTTTGCCGGCCAATTTGTGGTCTTTACTGTATATGCCCTGCTCGAGTTACCTGCCGCAGTAAGTTGTCCACATTTTCCAATTTGAAATTATATCTATGTAGGTTAAGTAAATATGTCTCCATTTTCAGAGTTTCAATCGATTTAGTAAGACCTATCGCTCCCTTAAAGATAAGAGCACGAATTTTGTGCAGCGACTCGCCTCGAGTGAAACCCAGACTGAAAACGGCGAGGCCCAAAATGGGAAGCGAAAGAAGTCGACTGACAATCCACGGGATGCCATGCCGCCATTGACAATAAGTGAATCACGGAGAAATATCGGTAATTATGTATTAAAATACATACGCAAAATACAAGTAGAGATAAATCTAAAGAAGTTTTATATTTGTGCAACTGTTTCCGGCAAACCATTTTCAAAATTACATTTGACTTCAAAATCGATCAAGTTTTGAAAGAGTTATGGCAGTATGAAAGTGTTGACACGTTCCTAACTGTGTTTTTTTTATATATTAGAATTTGATCATTGATTTCGAGCGATAAACGTGTTCCAACTTTAAATGTAGTAAGATTTTAGAGGTCAAACCATGATCTAAACGGCATGGCTTGTACAAATCAGTTAAGTTTGTCAAAAAATGTAGGCTTAAAATGTTGGGAAGGTGATAAATTAACTTCGACATATATAAGTATTTACATACTTGTTTAGTTTAATGTATTTCGATTGTTAATTTCAGGCTCTGTTACCTGTTACCTTGAGACAAAGATTTTCAAGCGTAATTCTCGCACTGGCTCCTACTCGACTGAGGAGCTCTGGCTGCCCATTAAAGATATAACGACCACTGTGCTCTCGAAGACGCCCAACAATAATAATAATAACAACAGCAACAATGTAAGTTATCAAAAAAATAACAAACTGACGACAAAATGACAGAAACATTTAACTAAACAATGACTTAACTGAATGCCATAACCCAGCCGAGTGTTAAGTGCAAGTTCATAACAGAAAACAACTGAAATTAAGATGTGCATTTCATTTTGGTCTAGTGAAAGTTGGCTGAAAAGTAAATTGCGACAAGTGTTAACCACGTAACCAAAGACATGAAAATTAAACCGACTGAAAGCAAAAGCATGAATGAAGCATAACCCTTGAACTTGGCTTTCATTTCCAGCTCACCAATGCACCCAAAGGCGTTGTTGAACTGGCGCTTGAGGTGCGTGATCTTAGCGAGAGCGAATCCCTGCCAGAAGTGGATGCGCAGTCAGAGCCAAAGGACATCCCAGCGGGAGCCAACAACTGGCAGCGCATGCGCGCCGAGATGAAGCGCAAAATGGGTATGAGTAATGTGACAAATGTCTTGGGCGGCACACTAATGTTCCGAGTGACGACATCCCGAATGCGTTGCTCCAACAAGGTCAAGGACGAACTGGAGGCGACGGCCGGCGGTGGTGTCTATGTAAAGACGACGGTCTTTGAGCATGGCATCTATGTGGATGCCTGGAAATCGCCCATCTTCTATCCCTCGCTCTCTACGAAGTGGGATGGCGCTGGTGGAGATCAGGCGACCATTTGTGTACCCCTGCGCAGCATGGATCAGCTGGAGAATATGGTGATCCGCACAACGCTAGCGACTAAACTGAAAATGGGCAAGAAACTAGTGCTGGGCACAGTTCTAATCGGCGGCGATGGCTCCGAATCGGGTTTGGAGCAACTGCGTCTGTTGAGAGATTCGCCAGTCAACGAGCGTGTGAGCACCTGGCACTGCTATCATTAATTCTCAGCCAGCTTTCATGCCATTTATTTCTAAACCAATGTCTAGTACCAAAATTAAAGATGCATTTTCCCTATTGATACACTCAGAGAAACTTATGGACTTGCATTTAAGAAGAACAATCTATAAATTTTGTATTTAATAATAACATTATATAAATAATAATAATTTTCTAAAAAGTAGAAATACTTGCCCACAATAGATCTGAATATTTCAGAGCTGTATGAATGAAAAATTTAGAAAATTTCGTTTAAGAATTGTGCAATATGTAAAATATCGAAAATGCAATTTTTTTCGCTAAATGTTAAGAAATACTTTGTGTTTTTAAGTAAATCAGCAATTTTTATTATTTCATAGATATAGAAACACTTCAATTGTAAAATAGAAGTAATAATCCTGACTTCTGAGACCTCTAAAAAATAAGTTAATTTTCTCTAAATTATATGTGACATTTGTTGGCTGAGTGTATCATTAAATTTATATGCTCATCGTTTTTATTAACTCTTATGTGTTGGATTTGGGTTCTCCGTTAAGCGCTGGTTTATGACCATGGCCATATTTAGGGACTGGCATCGGAACCGGGTCGAGCGCTCACTGAATCTGTTGCTCATTTCACGGTTAGGGGTTTTCACACTTTTTGCGTAGTATTCCCAAGCGACGCACCATTGTTTGCGGCCCACTGTGCGAGCTTGTATGTATTGGTGTATTAGTGTGCCTGCTGCCAGCAGCATCGAACGCAACGTTTTTGTACATTTTGTTTGCTGTTAGCTCAGTTCGAAGCGCTCGACGTTGGCGTTCAGTTCTCGAGGAGACAGCGTTGCGATCGGATGTGTTTTTTAGTCGGTGCGTGTGTGTGTGAGTGTGAGTTGGTGTGAGTGTGAGTTGGTGTGAGTGTTTGTCGTCGTCGTAGTCTGAAGCTGCGAGTTGTCGGTCTATATATGAATATTGAGATTCAGTTCTTCCAATGTAAAAATAAAATTTACGAAAACATATTTGAAAAGTGACTTTTCAATGTGCTAAAAAGAACCTGAGCGAAAAGTGCGGAAAACTTTGCAACGTTTTATTCGCGGAAATTCAAATCAAATCAAATAGTGTGTGCGCCTTTGGGCCACCCTGTATTTGCCAGGCACTTCAACAGGTAACCGGCAGCCTTAGCCTCTAATTGATAGGTGCCTCTCATTCAGTTAACATGCAAATAACAACAATAACAATTAATCATTAACCGTATACGCGCACTCAAAATCGTTCAATTGAATGGCGATAAAAAACGCAGCAACAATCTATATATACACAGTTAATAATGATGCGGCCTCAAATAGATGTCGTCATTTCATTTCATTGAGTTGGCTCATTTGTATACATAATGCTATATATGCTATATACATATATATGTGCCATATGTTCCTAGTGCAGTTGCAAGCAACGGCAATGCATCAGTTATGGACACAACAACAGTTTCATTCATGAAAACAATATGCAGATACAGTGATCGCTCCAAATTGCAATGCTTCCCAAAAAAAAAATCAATGAAAATACAATCATTTCCGCAAATCGCAATTTTCGTACAAATATAATTGGAAATTTAATGACAATCAAAACGTTCAAATTATGAGTCTGAAAATCAAATTTAATTCTTTAGAAATATGAAAATTAAATAAAATATACAATTTCAGTTTTCTAAGTCATTCTAATAAAATGGAAATTAAATGACCATTAAAATATTAAAATCTCTCTGAAGTTCAACATCTAATAAAGAATACAATTTTAGATTCGCAAAAACTATGATTTCTGAAAGTCGTAAATTTAAAAAAAGAAAACTAAAAATTGACATTTTTATTGACCATTAAAACCACAAAATGGTGAACTTAAAAATGAAATAAAATATACAATTATAGTTTGTGAACCATCATAATTTGCTTAAACTCCAATACGCGAGCGATCACTGTAGCCACAGATGCACATAAATTATATATAAAATGCATTAAGCGCATACATGTGTTATAAATATGTCGTCTAAGGGGGGTGTTTTGGGGTGGCTGGCGCCGCGATCGAAGCTTCTTTGCGATTGTAGCGCGGAGCGAATCATGATTTATGGCTAACAACATCCGTTATATATATACATACATACATAGGAATTTACATACATACATATATTTACTTGTGTGTGATCGCTTGGAATTGTGGCCTAGCTTATTACAACAGAGATCGAATCAAAAAATTGGCCTTTATATTTATAAAAAAAACACACACACAACAACTAATAAATAAACTTGAGTCCCAGACGCATCTTGACATTTTTCAACTTCCGTTGCGGACTGCCCATCTGCACATAAGTAGCAGGTACACACACACACACACACATACATGTATATATATATATATAGGCATATGTACGTTAACTTGTATAGTAAGACGAGAACTGCCCACGAACACTAACGCTGCCCACTCGAGACATAAACAACAACAAACCCCCACATGCTAAAAAAAAAATATAGCAGACAGACGGACAGACAGACTGACAGACAGCGAGACAGACACAGTAGCGGCGATTCGCTTTTCGATTTTTCGTAAGCGTCATTAAAATTGCATTTCGTTGAACTGGCCCGAAGACAAGTGCTCCCCACACTCCCTCTTCGTCTTCGTCTCCGTCTCCGTCACCGTCTGCCAGTCTTCAAACCTCACCCACTCGTCGTCGAGCTGTTTTGGCTTTGCCAGACTTTGCGGCTAGCTGTGCCAGCAGGTGGTGCTACCAATCGGATGACTATCGAGCGTTTAACTAACACGTTGCTACTGTTTTTATTATTTTCGTTTTGCGTAAATTTTCATTCATGAGTGCTCATTCAAGTGAGTGCTTCTGTATGCACAGTATACGACTGGCAGTTACCCTATGAACACTTGAAGGGAATAAATTATCATAGCATAGTAAATAAGCGACTTGGTTACTGGAGGTCTTCCTTTGACACAGCTATCTTTATGTGTTTATAAGTTTGGGCAAGCTTAGTTAACAGGTTTATGGTTTATTTTATATACCAAGCTTGACGGCACTAGCTTGGCATACCCTTTAATGGAGCCACATACAAAGTATGACAATTGTTTTTCAGTTGTCTGCAAAACAATCAGTAGCAATCAAGTGACTTGTCGTCCCATGGAATTTGTCAAATCTTTATCTGGCTATAATCTCAGGCAAAATAAAAAAAACCCGTAACATTTTAATCCCACTTAGTCTACGTGGGGTATAAGCAAGAGGTGGGCGCTACCGTGTCCAATTTATGACGAACGGTTTGTTTACATGACGGCAACGGCAGCGCATCCGTGAACGTTACTACTGGCTGCTGTTGCTGTTGCTGCTACTGTGCTGCTGCTGCTGCTGCTACTGATGCTGTGGGTGATTTGCGGTCGCGTTGCGTTCTAAATTAAGAAGCGTCGTCTTCTATGTACATATCTGTGTGTGTATATGTATATATATATATATGTAAACACACACATAGAATACGTATGTCGTCAGGTGTTTAAGAATAGTTTCTAGTGGTTTGTTTTTGTGATAATGCTAAATTATTTTCCTTACACACCGCAATCCAGAGCGGCAGTTATTATGTTGCCCGGTGCATATGATGAGATCAGCGCGCCGACAGATAAGCCACATATGCTAAGGCCACCGGTGGGTAATTCAAATTGTGAACTCGCTGCGCACTCTATTCTCGGTATTTATTGCTCACCAAATTTCGAATAGCAGCAAAGTAGAAAATTGACATTCATCGCTATATACTTTTTAGTTGAACTATCCATTAAATGGGTAGAGTTTCGCATTTGAAATTGATTCATTCTTGGAAAAAAAGAAGAATTTAAGAAACACAACATTTACATTTTTTCTACGTGTGTGTTTATATGTAATGTTTTATTTATTGGTATGCATACATATAGAATTAAATGTGGAAGATCTCTTTATTATATTTTTTTCACTTTAAAACATTTAGCAAGACACTTTTAATATTGGACTTTGATTCACAGTTTCCTGAACGAAATATGCAAATAGTTTGCCTGATTTTGCATGCAACACAAAAGTTAAGCTTTAAGTTAAATTTGATTTGATAAATCGTGCAAAATTCGCGACACCGTCATTTGCATTATTATTATTGAAGCCAAAACAGGAAATAAGTCTTTTTATAAAACATAATAAATGATAAAGTAGAGTTAATGGAATTTGCTATGCGTTACGCTCCCATTTTTCTATTGTTCAACTGAAATCAATTATTGTCACTATCTATCTATCTACCTGTATATAAGCGATTGCATTAACGCCAAACTGTTGACATATGAATGGGCCGTTCATGGATTTAATGGTCATTATAGTACAGGGAATGGAAAACCGAGAACTGCCAAGTACTAAACCTAAAAGCGACCCACGATTGTTTCAGCTTGCCTTGGTGTCCCCCTAAAGCCCATTTGTAAACACGTGCGTCCATATAAAGGGCCAAGCAACCGGTGACCATATATGCGATATCAAGTGAGATCGAGATCGAGTATTCGAATGCGATCGACTGAATGCATGTGCATGTGTGATTGAGTATGGGCCACGGAATTTGTTAGGCATTCAGTGTCTGTACTCAGCATACAGCATTGACGTAAGATCGATTGTACTTGCTTATTATAACAAAAAAAAAAAAAAAAACAGAAGGAATATACATTGTTTTTTGGCATTTACCAACGAGTGCTTCTGTTGCCACTTTAAATTCCACTGTGTAACAGGCAAAAGCTGTTTTTAATAGCAAACTTTGTGCTCAGGTCCGGTCTGAACTGTGACTCGCTCACCAAAGCAAGCAAACTTTGCTGTATATATTTTTGAAAAATATTCCAACTGTATGTTTTTAATTTTTGCTCGTCTGTATTTAATTACTTGTACACGCATGAGAATAATGATGATGATGATGATGAACATGTAGCTAATTAATTTCACTTATTTCTCTGGCCACTCTTGCTTGATCGCTGTATTTATTTAAAGGTCTCTTACAAGTTCAAATATTTGCTTTGTAGTTACGATAGCCCTGGGAGCAGCGACTGCGTCAGACTGCTCTAAAAAAGATATAAAAAAAGAGAAGAAAAATAAAAATCAGAAACGGATTCGAAAATTGATGAATTGTGCGTAGTCAAAAGATATGGCAATGGCACTGATTGTACTTTTACGCAAATGAGACGATTAGTTTGGCTAAATTAAACAAGTTAATTGCCTCTAAATAACATCGGTGATTCATCAAATGTGAGACTGCGCCAGATTTTCAAATATTTTCACATGTGCAAAATTAATTGTCTGCTTTAATGTGGACTGTAATTGAATTAAAAGAAAATACTAAGGGATTTGTTTATTAAGTCATTTTCTTTTGATCCTTTCAGCTTTTTCGTTTTGGAATCTTTTATCGTATCACTCGAAGATATATCCGTAAACAAGAATGCATTTAATTTGCGAATTTTTGAAATGGCTGGCACTCTTCCATCTGCTGTCTCAAAGTCAGGTGAGTTGAATGGTTAGTTGGTTGGTTAATCGCTGAAGCGCATCAAAAATGGATTGACTTCACCCACTTGACACATGACGGGAACCCATGATGTCAATCGAAAACAATTCACTCGACAATTTGACGATTGGCAACTGTGAATAATTTACAAATTTGTATAAGCAGTACATCAATTATCTGTTACCCAAATTAAGTAATACCCATTGTGGCCATTATATACACTACATATATGTGTATGTGACCCCGACAACGTAACGGTAAAAATGCCCTTGTGCAGTTTGGTATTTCCGCATGACTGAGTGTTACAGTTAACCCCAGTTGAAATAACCAAAATTGGGCAGGTTTGGCAACTCTGCCATGATCTTTAAATTGCGTTTTAAATCGACAGGCTATCATAAATAGATCTAGTTTAGCGACATATGTAAATAATATTGTACGTTCTTACGCAACATTATAGCATATTATTTGCATTTGCTAATCTACAGTCTTAATTGGAACATGGCATGCCAGCTCATATATTAGCCAATTTACTTGCGACCTTACGGGGTTATGACATTTAATATGCTTATCTAAATTATTTAATGGAACAAACTTTTTGCATATTTTTCTTTTTGCGCAGCCAACTTTTGTTCATAAATTAATTAGGCATGCAAATCGATCGAGTTTATTATCATTACATTTCTTAATATATTATGCAGAAAAGTTTTTAGCTCTGACAGCAATCTTCAAAAGTTTATGAAATTTATTTTCGGCTGCCAAAGTTGAAGTACATCTTTCTATATAGATAAACTTGGAGCAGATATAACAGGAAATTGTCTCTTTTATGTGAAGTACCCTTGAAGTGCCCTAAATTGGCGAAGTTCTCTGCCATAGCGAAAAGACACATGTATATATTAGTTATATCGACTTGTACATGTCACAGTCGAGCTGATGCCATTGGCGATCTACCGCAGAAGGAGCCGCTAAGTCAATTGCGGTGTCGGCGTCGTTGTCGAAACCTATTTTCGATAGGAACACGAGACAGGAAGAAGGGATACGAGTGTGTTTGCCTGGTGCCGTGTCGGCCGGCCAAAGTAAATTTATGTTATTTTTAGCAATGTGAGACTGGCAGCAGCAGCAGCAACAACAATAACAACAGCAGCAATCTTCGAGCTGGAAACATAACTGCGTCCGCCCATTCGATGTCGACAGAGAGAGAGAGAGAGAGAGAGAGCGTGTGAGAGTGAGAGAGAGTGAGAGGCAGACGAGAGCAATGACATCTCAAATGAAATGCAGCAATGATCTTGCAGCCCCCTCGGCAACCGGTACAGATGCAGCTACGGTCTGATTTATCCACAGTGATAAGTCTGTGTTGGCGCAGAAATTGAGTGTTGGCGCGTCTCTTCCATCTTGGCAGACATTCAAATGGCTGCTGTTATTATTTCTAATGTATTGTTTGTCGGAGCGCGTCAATGGGGTTTCCTATATCAACGAAGAGAAAACGATGCAAGCCATCTTTTTGAGTAGAAATACAACACTTTTGAGAATTTACATACCCCATCGGGAATAGGGGAGGCAAATTTAATGGTCGCAATTATGTTTCAACGGACTAAATCTAAAATGCCTCTGTGTAAGACAAATGTTTTTTTCTACACCTTGTACAATTATGACCTGCAGACTGAGTAGCACTTTCTATTTATTTGCAAACTTAAAATGCATTTATAATTGAAGCTTTCTAATCTTTTTCATCTTTAATCTCTAAAACAGAGTGGCAGAGTTCAAGAGGCAAAGCGTCACATACGCGCCGAGTTTCGCGATGTTTTGGGCCCCCCCAGGTATTATGGCTCACACTGGCATCATGGTCAGCGAGTGCATCGCGTCCATATGCCGCATGCACGCCAGAGATGGAGTGGCCGGCGGCGCTCGATCCATCATCCGCATCCCTTCAGCCGCTGGACACAGTGGACCACTTGCGATGAGGATTGCATTAGGCGACGTGAGCGCTTCTGCAAAGCAAAGCGAAAATGTGGACACACCAAGCACGTGGAGCAGCGAAAGTGTTCGCAGTGAGTGGGAAAGCCAAAAAGTGATTATTCCATTGTATATTTAATGTATGCCTTTGCAGTTGTCATCCAGCCATCAAGTGGCATCAAGTTGAGAGCAATTTCCACCACAGGAATTCCCAACCCATTCACATTCCCAGTCAAAATACGCCGTCGATTGTCATAAATGCAGCAGCTGCTGCGGCAAGTGGGCCACCCTTGCAACCTGTGCATGCACAGCCCCAACCACAACCTTCTCCGCTGCCGCAACCAACTGTAGTTTACCCACATCTGCCTGTAGACTCTGTTGAGGTGGTGCACAGAAGACCGCCTACTTCACACTGGCCCCCCATCGAATCTGGTGCAGATGAAGAAGATGAGGACGAGCCTGCCTTCGGGCATGAGGAAGGTGACTTCTTTGTGCTTAAGCGACACAGGCGGAGGCAAAGACCCAAGCACATTTCGTGGCATAGCTCGGGGTACAGCTCGGGGCACAGCTCGGGGCATAGCTTGGGGCACAGCTCGGGACACAGCTCGGGGCACAGCTTGGGGCACAGCTCGGGACACAGCTTGGGGCACAGCTCGAGATACAACTCGAGGCACAATTCGAAGCACAACTCGAGGCATCAAAATGAGGAAAAGCACAAATTTGATTTCATAGACGACGATTTCGAGGACTACTTTGAGCGTAGATCCTTCAGCCACCAGCAGCGCAGTCTGGGCAGCAATGAAAACGTTGGTCTGGATGGCGACATATTTCAGTATGAGGATTTCGACTTCGAGCCAGATCTGAATCAATACGTCGACTCGGAAGAGTATGCGGATAATCGTAATAGCAGCTGGCTGCCCCCAAACAAGGAGCGCAATACACCAGACGGACTGCAATCGAGGCATCGGCGTATGTACTCCAAGTGGAGCCGTTGGAGCAAGTGCTCACCAAAGTGTACCACTAGGAGATATAAGTGAGTCATCATAATCATAATGAAACCTGATCATTTAATATTAAATACCCATTCTTATTTTGATAGAAAATGCCGCATTCGTGAGCAGTGTGGGCGTGAGGTGCTCCGGGAGATCGCGTACTGCTACACAGAGGGCAGTTTCTGTCAGCAGTGGCTGCAGACGCAGGTTCAGAAGATGCCCGCCTATGATTCGAGGCCCAGGCCTGGGACGGCCACCAGACCTGTGCCCGGTACGGCTACTGCTATGAGACGCATGCATACCGAGCCGGCTTCGGCATCGCTGAGCAAGAACGATGTGAACGTCATCATGAATGGAAAGGGCTACCGTGGACCTGAGTATACGCCACTCAAACTACAGTGTGGCCTGCTGCGTAATAGACCCCGCAACAACAACATGTACAACATGCTCAAGATAATTGGGGGCAAGACGGCGCGGAAAGGTGCGTGGCCCTGGCAGGTGGCAATCATCAATCGCTTCAAGGAGGTATTTTGCGGCGGCACATTGATTGCTCCGTTCTGGGTCCTCACGGCAGCCCACTGTGTGAGAAAGGTGCTCTACGTTCGCTTCGGGGAGCACAATCTGGACTATGAGGATGGCACCGAGGTGCAGCTGCGTGTCCTCAAGAGCTACAAGCATCCCAATTTCGATAAGCGAACAGTTGACAGTGATGTCGCCCTATTGAGGTTGGTCTACTTTGATAACTTCCGTATTCCGACAATATTCTTACTTATTTTCACTTTCACTGAAGTCTGCCCAAGAAGGTGAATTCAACCCGGTGGATTGGGTACTCCTGCCTGCCGCGACCATATCAGCCACTCCCCGAAAACGTGCATTGCACAGTTATTGGCTGGGGCAAGAGACGAAACTCGGATGTGGTCGGAACTAGTGTCCTTCACCAAGCAGACGTGCCCATCATACCCATGGGCAACTGTAGCAAGGTCTACCGAGACTATACCATCACAAAGGTGCGCTTAAAAATACATTTATAGCTTTGATAAATAATATTAAAAAAATGTTTTGCAAATTGTAGAACATGTTCTGCGCTGGACACAGTCAAGGACGCATCGATACCTGTGCAGGGGATTCGGGTGGTCCGTTGTTATGTCGAGATACCACTAAAGCTAATCATCCATGGACTATATTCGGAATTACTTCCTTTGGCGATGGTTGTGGAAAACGCAATAAATTTGGCATCTATGTCAGGATGCCCAACTACGTGGACTGGGTCTGGTCGGTGGTCAATTGCAATGGCAACTGCAAGCTGCACTAGAGGATAGATATCCTAGATATACCTTGCCACCGATACCTATAGATAAATAGCTTATTGGTTGCCCGATTCGAAGTTATCATAGATGTAGTTTAGCTTTTAGATCGTTATGTTTCAGAGGCTGTGAGATACTTATTTAGTTTTAATCCCAATTCCGGGAGAACTCATCTTGTAGATACGAACACTTACTAACATAAGTACCGATACATGTACATATTAATTATGATTTATTTGTGTTTCACTTCTTTGGCTGAATATAAATTATTTATTTCCTTATTGCAAAATGGCATATCTTGCTTGTAAGTTAAGCTTATATTCTAGGCGTATTCTAGATTGTGTCAACAGAAATCAATGCAAATGTGTATATAACAGTTGGGAAAACTTGTTTTAATAAATGGAAAGCAATAAATTGAAAATGTTCAATGTGAAGATCTAATTTTTAACTAAATTCTCAATAGTCAATAATCATACAACACACGTTCAGTATTACTAAAAAAGCAACGACATTATTCAATGAAAACCAGTGCATAGTTTCAGGTTGATTTAAGTTTTCAGCAACTAAAAAAAAGAGTTCTTTTAGGCTGATAAATAAAATTACTTGGATAGCACAAATGATGTTTAGAGAAATAATACGCACCCTGTATAAGAGGATAGAATACATATCAGATTTGGTTTACTTTAGTTTATTACATAAGTATTAAATGCTGCCCGTCAAGGCTTTAATAATACAACTATTTAACGGGACAATTTTACACATCATCAACTACAAGTACGAGTACACATTTTGTTTATAATATATATGTATATCAAAAAAGCCATCACATTGTTAATGGATTAGGTTGCGTATAGTGAGTGTGTGTGTGTATGTGTGTGTATAATGGTTAGTCGAATAAACAACCAATAACCGAGCAGCCAGCCAAGCAGCTTGTTGGATACTATCCAGTCATCGCATGATGCAGAATCACCGAGGCAAGCACCACCAAAAGAGCAAATGCAAATCCGATCATACACAGATTGCGGGTGAGTTCTCGCTTTGGCATCGAGCTGTTTAATTTTCGGTTATCATCTGAATTTTCTGTATCTCGTTGCATGTTGCTGAAGTGACCGTCTTCGGGTAGACTTTCGGCGTCCAAGAGAATCGCCTCCGGATCGAGCTCAACGTCGAGAACTTGCTTAGCCTGGGCCACAGCAACGGTGGGTGCTTCACCGCGGAACAGATACTCCGAGAACTGAACTGAGTTCGTTGACGGTTTGTCGCCAGCATCAGCTGGGATATTGAAGAAGACACGCCGCGGTGGTTCGCTTATGTAGACCGCCGCGTTGGTGACATGGGGATCGGTGAGGCCATCGCAATACACCTGGATTCGTGTGACAAGCGAACGCAGAACGTCGTCGCGTATGAAACGCTTAACGTCCCCAATGCTGTTCCTTGAGTTGCAGTAAATTCGAGAGAAGATCATTCCGCTCATGCGTAGAGTGCCGCTAAACTCACTAACTTTGACATCGTTCGGACTGTTCAGTTGACACTTGACCGGCATCACAATGCTGGCCCGTATCACACCGCCCCTCGAGGAACTGTCATGGGCGGACAGGAGATGCAATGAGGATGCAGCCCCAGCGGAGCTTGTAGACGCTGCACTGGTGCTGGCCGATGTTGTCTTGAGGTTGTCATCCTTGGGCTTTTTCTTCTTTATATACGCCTGCAAGTCCATTGTGTCCTCCACAATTTCATTCTGCAGAAATACCTCGCTGGCAATCAGGTATTTACGCACCGTGAATATTATATTTTGGAATTGGTCTTCAATGTTAATGCGGCTTGTGGTATCCACTATGGGTATGATATCATCTAAGTCGTAATTGCACTCAAGTTGGACCCATTCAAACGGCTTCTCCACGATGCGATGGTCCATGTTGGAAAATGTGCCACCGCTGTCAGGGATTAAGGGTAAAATGGGATTAATAAAGTGTATACATATATAGTTAATGAATTTGATTGGGCAAAGCTCTACAGATGTTTTTAAAATATACAACATACTTTTGTATCTATAAACCGAAACACGCAAAATGCAATCCATAAAAAACAGCTACGAAAATGAAGTACATATTTAGTTACGAATAAATATATACGCCCTAGTGGGCGTCAAAAACATTCAAAAGGTGTAAAGTACTTAATGTTATTTACCATATGATGCATTTAATGTTTGCCGTAAAATACGTTTTTTTGCAATGTCTAGTTTTAAGCAAGATAATCGGTATAAAGATAAAGATACAGTGATTCAGTTTTCGGTGGCATCTTCCTAACTTTTAAATAGTCAACAAGTGCATCTAGATTTTCACTTACTTTCCATAGGTATAGTTTTTGCACACCACTTTTTTATCGGCCAGCGAGTAGGCCAGGAATACATATTCCGTTTGGGCCATGTCTGTGGTGTAGATGCCAAAGGTGCTATTGCTCTTAAGCAATAGGCTGCAAATGAATATGAAAATATGGTTTCCAGTTGAGATTTTCTTTTGGGATAATTACTCGTAGACATCGGAGAAGAGTTTCTTCGCATTCCTAAATTCATCGCTCTGCTCGTTGGTGATTTCAAGACGCTCAGAAGCAATAAAAATACCTGCGAATAGTTAACAAAGTCTGGTTTGTATTGGTTTTAGGTTAATGTGCACAGTCAACTCACCAATGACGTCAAAGGAGCCGGGGCACATTTTACTCGCACTCAGCCACTGGGAGGCCAACGATTGCGATTTAATGTCGCGTATGGATAATTGCACATTACTCAGGTCTTCCAGATCGGCATCCTCCTCGTTGTTGCGGGCCAAGTGAACAACGATGCTTTTGGTTATATCCGCTTGCTGCAATTGCAGTTGCAGTCGTGAACAAAATAAACCTACGTGGCGGGTGGCCGGTAAGAGGAGAGGAGCATACTTGTTACTTACGTGACCAACGATGATGCCATAGGAGAAACTGTGCTCCTGGGCGCACTTTTCCAAATAGAGCTCATCGGTTTTGCTCAAAAGCACGGTGCGCATTATATATTCTTTATTTTTCAGCAAAACAAAATTTGTAGCAGTTTTTGGGTTGTCTCTAATGTTGATACTATGCTGTCATCGATAATTGCATGTTTAATACGATGTTGAAGGGATATGCGTACAATCGATGTTTGCCAACAAGCTATCGATTCATCGATAGCAGTTTCGTTCAGTTTGTGAACTAAGGAAGAGGAAGAGAACTCACGAGTAGTTTACCGCCAAAATCTATATTTATTTAAAAGTACGCAAACAGGTGTTTTGAAACTGGATCTCTATATAAAATAAAAGGGATTTGTTGATAATCTGTAAAAGGCCGAAAACCGTAAGCAACTAAGCACAAAGTTCAACTAACAAAATTAGTATTAACGATTATGACACATATTTCTAGATATCAATCCTGTCTCTAAGCTTGTTTGCTAAGTTCAAAAAGTAATTGATATTCTATAATGTACTGTGCTTAAAAAAGGCATGTTAAGTATAAGTTGAACTTTCATCACACATTCAATCTCTCGAGAACAACACCTTGAAATGAAAAAATTGTAATTGATTTGAAAGCTCAAAAGCCTTTACGAATTAAATTGTCAGATTTCACAGCTGGTGTGCGTTTCCTCGATTTTAATTGCATTAAGATATAAGAGTCTTTCAAGCGCTTGAATTAAGGCAGCAACCTTATTACTCCCCAACGGTACGAAGTAATTGATATTTTTGTGAGTGTGTGTGTTCATATATGATGTGTGTGTCTGTGTGTGTGCCACCCAAATGGTCAAGTGTTTTGTGGATTATGGCGAACGGACGCGATCGCGGTAATCGAATTAGGTAAACAAACACTCAATAAAGCGAGTGTTCGTTGTGCATATGCATATATGTGTATATAGATATCTCACATTCAGGCAAGTCAGCAGCATCAGCATCAGCAGCAGCAGCAGCAGCAGTCTGGGGAATTGCGATTGCGCCGTGATGACAGGCCAAAAGTAAATGAAATTTTTGTTTGAGGTGGTCGCTTGCGGCCTGCTTGCTGCGAACCATCTGCTTTGTGTGAATGCTTGATTGTTGAAGTGGCACTCGATGGCGCGAGGGCGCACGCTACTCTCAAGACCCAACACCGACACCGACTCTGACTCTGACTCCAACTCCAACTCCGACTTTGACTCCAACTCCTCAACTCCTCCAGCTCACGTCTTATTTACATAGTAAATTATTCCTGTTCGATTGTTTGCGTTTGCTCTGGATCTCTGGCATAAAAGCACTCGAGCGTCATCGTTCAGCTTTCATCGCTCATTCATGATTTACCTTTCACAATTTTGATGTAAGTATGTAAGCTGCATTTAATGCACATTTACTACAAAAATGTTTGGCTTGTTATTAACTGTAAATGGTGCAGAATGGGCACTATGTAATAGGCAGAGAAGGGCACCTCGAACCGCTTAAAGTCTATATATACAGGGAATCTCGTAGTCGGAGTACTCTTGTTTATGTATATATTTCTGAACCGTTATCTGGGATATCTTGCTGGTCGTATTGTTTTAAAAAGAGCAAACTGCAACATAAACTTCCTACAAACTCGGCGAAATTGATGTTCTATCAATCCATGAAAGAGCAACAGGTAATTGCTTCTCGGACTTGGATTCATTCGCCTGCAGCTACGCAATTCAAGCAGGCATCGAATGCAATTTGACTTCTGTGTAGCCATCACCGCTGTGGTTCCCCCCGGTGGCCCGCCCATTGTCCACATCAGGCAAATTCTATGGTATTCTGTGTGGTGCTTAAATCACGCTATGTGTAGCTTAGTTGCAGTTTTGATTCAGCTTTGAGTCGCCTTAACCAAGCAGCACATCAATCATTCATCACGCACCCCACAAAAGCCAAAGCCAAAGACGCTCCACAAATCTCCGCACAACTTTGGAGTCTGCAAAAACATATGTATATATATGTTCAATTTAGCAATTCATGAATGATTGGATGAAACTGGTTAATATTTATTTTACAGGAGGAAATGTTAAATAGTGGCTGGCTGACAGAGCTATTTCCTGTGTAACATAATCAATGAATATAATAATTGTAATTATGACAAAATAATTGCATACAAAAATTAAGCATTAATGTTTATCTGCTAAAGTTTGTATGAAAAGCGAACAACATTCAAAAGGCTTATGTTCGGACTAAGTTATTAAGGTTTAAAGAATTGGAGAGCATTTTCTAAAAGTTTGAGAAGTTCATATTAGTATCAGGTTTGGTTTGTTATTTAATTTAAGATGTTGCGAATTGTTATAAAATATTTTGTGATTATGAAAACAATTTGCTTTCTAATTAACTTTCCTTGCATTCCATTATAATATTTATATTTTTTCTGTTCAGTGCTGACAAAGTAGGAATCCATTCAAAATCGACAAATTTGTAATCAACTTAATGGGCCATAATAGATTATATTTACATTTTCTATATGAAATCAATTAATAGTAAAACTTCGAAACTTATAAAAGAAGTAAGAAAAACATCAAAACAAAAATATCAATTTGAATTTCATATATAGATTTAAAAATACAAAATTTACTAAATTTCTACAGGAGAATGTATTTTTCTCGACCCCCATAACAAAAAACTGAAAGTCGTTCTTCAGATTTATTCTCTCTCTCTATTCAATGACAAAATTGACTAACCAGGAGTTATATAAACCAGTACTTTAGTTCAGCTTGATCATAATCAATTCCTTTTCATAACTAAAGTCAACTTCCCCTATTTCATATCACTCACACACACACACACTCACTCGGATTCTCAGACAGACAGAAAGACAGCTTCTTCTTCATTCTTTTCCTGAGGCTGGCTGGCTGGCTGGCCGTTGTTTATACGCTTGGACGCAGTCATGAGCGCGTTGGCCACTGCCCACTTGGCGCGTCCAGTTGTTGTTGTTGTTGCTGCTGTTGCTGCTGCTGTTGCTGCTGTTGCTGTGAGGGGGAGCGGGATGTAATTGCTATTGCTCAGTGTGTTTTTTGAATTGTGTGCGCCAATATTGTGCATAGACCATATTGCCATCCCGCTCGTGCGCTTGCTGCTCATGTGAGAATGGCCGCCATTATGAATGTGCGCCGATGTTGAAAAACCGGTCGAAAGCACTCAAAGCGTTTGAGCGAAATGCGCAATTGAGTGGAGTGGTTGGGCCACAGTCCAGGTTTCAGGTGAAATTCAAGCCACTTGCGGCTGCCACTCAGTGTGCTGAGAGCGGCTTTCACGTGAACAACGTTCAAACGGAACAGCGTCGAGAAAACAACGCAGCAGCGACAACAACAACAATAACAAAAAGCAATTTGAAAAGCCATCATTCTTTCGGTTGGGCAATATGTGCGCGGGTGCAGTGAGAAAGAGCACGTTATGAATTTAATTGGCCGCATTGCATTTCCGTTTGCTACCAAGTGTGATTTGCATGTGCAACAACTACGCGACTGCTCCCCCTAAATCAAACGGTGACTGTGCCACTTAGTGCCTGTGTGTGTTCGTGTGCGTGTGTATGTGTATGTGTGTGTGTGTGTGTGTTGGTGAAAACTCTCAATAGATTCAAGCTCAACGAATCGATTCGACAGCAGATAGTTGCCAAAAAACGCCACTGACATGTTGATTGAGCCGAGCTTGAACCGTGACTTTGGCTCGCTAACTGCTGCAGGTTCTGGCATCGCGACCGCACACTGGAAAATGGAGCCACATCCCCAACGTCTGCCATCGCTGCCACCGCACGCGGCCAGTGGTAAGAGTTTGACTTTAACACTTGGACTTGCCCAACGCATACTTGAGCCCCAATTGCCGGCGGCAGTTTGCATATTTAGTTGCTTTGAAAAAGCAGATGTGTTGCGGTGCAAAGGAATTTTAATTAGGATTAGGGGAATTGGTCAATAGTTTATAGATAATCTAATCAGAAAATGTGGGTACAGATTACTAAGTGAAAGTTGATTAAATATTATTAACATTGCAAATAGTTTGAAAAGGATTTCAGTGAGATTTTGAGTAATCAGTACTTAAAAGTGATATAAAAAGCAGATGAATACTCGTGGAACTATTCTCATTAATAACAATCTAAGATGCACTAAAGCAATACAAATTTGAAGTCAAAGTTCTAGACTATCTTTCGAAGCGAAAACAGTAAGGAATTTGATATCTCATCAGTTCTTCACATTTTTCAGCCACTCAAACATAAAAAATTCATAGCCAAAAATTGTCGATTGTAAAAATTGCTCAGGCTGCTTAAGCCAAATACAATAGACGTATACATTTGTCAATAATAAAAGTCAATTCAAAACAGAACAGGTGTTATATTTACCGCTAATTGACAATTGGAGGGAAATACCACTTCAGAAGCAGTGACAACGAAGGGGCTGTGGGAGCGGAAGAGAGGGGATTCACCACGCTTTAAGTATAAATGTCATATGAAAAAAGAAACGATAAATATTAATACGTCTGCTCGCTTATAATAAGTTAATGTGTGCACATTCTAAAATGTTAAACAATGCAACCAATCGCTTGGCAGCTGATTAAATATTTTAATTTTAATTTGCTTTTTATAACGCTAAATTATGCCCGAAAATGTTAAATTCGCCAAAGGGGTCCGAGAGTCACAATTCAATTCATTCAAACATTAGTTTCCAATAAACCCAAAACGAGTATTGTGACAATTGAGCAGCGCCATTACTGCTGGTGATGCTGCTGCTGGGATGTTGCTGCTGGGATGTTGATGCTGTGGATGTTACTGTTGCTGTTGCTGTTGTTGCTACTTTGACAACAATCGACACTTTTGCTGTCATCAGTCACTTGGCGGCTTTTTAGCTCAGTTTAGTCAACGTCAACACAATTAACCGTTAATTTATCATAATTAACCATTGTGGCTGACAGCAGAAGCAACAACAACAACCACACCAGATACAACAACAACAACAGCGACAACAACAACAACAATAATGCTAACAATGGCCAATTATCATTCAATTCGTTTCAATTGCAGTGGCGTCGGCATCAGCAACAGCAGCAGCGCCAACGATGACAACAACAGCACCAACAACTGTGCAAATACCGCCAGGTTTCGGTTCTGCTGCCAATAACAATGTTGGCCCAACAGCGGCAACAGCAGCCGCCGCGGCGGCAGCAGCAGCGGCAACTGGCAGTACGCTCGGCGCTTTGATGTCGCAGCACCGACTATTGGAGTTCTCCCGGTTCGGTGGCCTGCGGGGATACGATATTGCCCAACATATGCTCACACAGCAGGGCGCCGTCTCCAAACTGTTAGGTAAGTGCTAAACACACAATCCTTAACAAAAGTCACTACACTAAAAAAAATATATATTAAAAAATAACTAAATTAATCGCAATTTGTCAAGATGAAAATTTCTAAAACGCTCGAGTATTTTATATTAAGTAAACAAACTTTCAAGTTCATGTTTGTTTTATATATAAATATGCAGAAGTGTATTCAATTCTATGTCGTATTTTGTTCCGAGTGTGCCGAAATACAGATGTGAGATAACGCACTTTGTTTGCGATTTGTTCTTGTCAATTTCAATGTATCCTTGAGCGGCACACGCGAATGCACATCCTGCCCCTACTCCGCCTTCGCCACTCATGCTCCGTATGCCTACCTGTACGTAATTTAGCCACTTAAAATTGCATAAACGACTCGAACTTGGTCTGCCCGAAGGTGGCTCATTAATCAAAAAAAAAAAAAAGAAAAAAGAAGTCCAGGAAGAATGCTTCGGTTGTAGGGTGCGCTTTAGGTGCGTCCTGCTGCTTCTTCTGGTCTGGTCTGTGGCCGTGTGGGGTTCGTTTTCCTTGTTGTTGATGTTTGCTGCTTGATAAAGCTATTAAATGTGCGCGATAAGCCTGCACTACCGTGTAAACCCAAAGCGCAACTGACGATTGTGGGTTGATCCCCACACTCATTTACCATAAACATAATCCATAACTCATTATTGCATCATTGTCTTATTATTATTATTTCTTGTGTTTTCTTGTTTTTTGTTTTAGGTTCGTTGCGACCACCTGGCCTAATTGGTGGCTCCAAGCCAAAAGTGGCCACGCCAACCGTCGTCTCCAAAATTGAGCAGTACAAGCGCGAGAATCCAACGATCTTTGCCTGGGAGATACGAGAGCGTTTAATCTCCGAAGGTAAGGGAGTAATTGCCGGATAATCTGCGTTCTGTGATCACTGATTCACTGATCACTGATCACAGCAGCAAGCAGCAGCGGCGGCTGCCCTTTGAGCTGCATCTCTAATCTGTGCCCCCCCCCCCCCCCCCCCCCCCCCCCCCCCCCCCCCCCCTTCTCTTCTCCCATCTGTCCCGCATCCTCCTCGTTGCAGGTGTTTGCACTAACGCAACTGCGCCTTCGGTAAGCAGCATTAATCGCATCCTGCGCAATCGTGCCGCCGAGCGGGTGGCCACCGAATTCGCACGCACTGCTGCCTATGGTTTGTATCCACCGCCACCGCATCCCTACGGCAGTTTCACCTGGCATCCGGCCAATGTGCCTGGAGGCTCACCAGTGCCGCCGCCGCCCTCCGCCCTCTGGTCTGTTGCTGCGCCCACGTTGGCCAATCTGCCTCCAAGCGCAGGCAGCGCCAATCCAAACAGTCTGAGTTTGAGCTCAGCAAATCTGCTGAGCAGTGGAGCTCCTGCAATGAATCGAGCTATCTCACCAGGCTCGGGCAGCCACGAAACTCTGGAATCGACGGATGAGAATCGTCAAATCGATTCCGATTATCTGGACGATGATGATGAGCCCAAGTTTCGACGCAATCGCACCACCTTCAGTCCCGAACAGCTGGAGGAGCTGGAGAAGGAGTTCGACAAGAGTCATTATCCGTGTGTGAGCACACGGGAGAGACTCTCCAGTCGCACCAGTCTCAGCGAGGCACGCGTTCAGGTAGGTTCAGCTTGTCGCTGCTTTCTTTCACTTGTTAAGTCCCCCACTAATAATTTCCCTTTTCCGGGAACATACTAACAAACTTCCTTACCATCTCTTATCTTACCCCAACCAATAATTAAATTTTCCCATCTGTATTCGCTCTTTGTAGGTTTGGTTCTCCAACCGACGAGCGAAATGGCGTCGTCACCAGCGCATGAATCTGCTCAAGCGACAGCGTTCCAGTCCCGCCAATCCGCTGCACTCGCAGCAGTCGAATGACGGACCGGTCACCAGTTCTCCTACGCCCAGCAGTCACAGCAACGCTTCGGCACCAACCACCCCACATGCTCATCCATCGGTTCATTGTGCGGATTCGCAATTAGCAGCGGCTCAAACGCCGCCTTCCGTTATGATGCATCCGCTGCATGCGCTCCCGCCGGGCCCACCAGGACACCATCATCATTTGCCCACACATCCAGCAGCGCTGCAGCTCTTCAGTCACTATCATCAGCAACAGCAGCAACAGCAACAACAACAGCAGCAGCAGCAGCAACAACAACAACAACATTCGCCTACGTCGGGTGGCGTCTGTGGTAGTCCAACGTCTGGACTTTCGATGGGCGGGGAGCGTAGCGCCTTTCGCAGCCTGGTGGGCTCGCCCTCTGCGGCTGCCTTCGCTCTGGGCCTGGCGCGTCAATATGCCGTCGCCGCCTCGCTGACTGTTGCGGAGGAGCAACGCACCCGTCTCCACTACGCCGGAGAGTGTGCAGCGTCGGGCGGTGGCACTGTGAATGTGGACAACTCCTCGTCAGATTCGGATGAGGAAATCAATGTGCACGACGATTCCGATGCTGAAATTGAGTCGCCAGTGGCGGCAAAGGTGGGACGCATGTCATCCTCTGATGCACCGACGACGACAACGTTGCAGCTCCTAAAGCATGACCGGTAGGGGCACTGCTGTTACTATACTACTATGTAGCTTCTAATTAAAAACTTGAGTTGTGTGCGCGCATGTGATTGACAGCAACAGAGTCCCCTCTCAAAAGCGAGGGGTGGGGCGGTTGGGGGCGGCGACATTTCTGTTGCGCTCTGTAACTTGAGACACGGTGACGGCGACGGTGACGGCGACTGCGAGAGCCACTGCGACATTGTAGGCATAAAAAAAATAAATAGAAAAAAAGCAACAAATCGAAAACCAAAGTTAAAATGCTGCTCACCCACTTGGCTGCGGATCGTACACTTAGAAAAAAAATTGATTAATTAATCAGATGGTCCTTTTCGATAGAAACAACAACAATTTCTATTTTATTGAATTTATACGCTAATAGAAACTATTTCCAAAAACAAAAATAAAATAAAAATACAAATTAATTTTTAGCGATTTTCTAAATGCTCTCACATAGTTTTTTTTTCTGAGTGTAGCGCGGCAGCAGCGAGCTGTATTACGTTGTATGTGCTGCAAGCCGTAATTGCAATTGCGGCAACTGCAACTTGTTTCTGTGTATGTATGTGGAGTGCATGCCTACAATTAAACACAAATTGTAACTAATACTTACCACTACATGGTAGAAGAGGCGCATTACTTGCCCCACTTTGTTCACTCACTTTTTTTTTTCTGTTTAGCTGCAACTACGAATACAACTAAATACTATTATAATAGCACTCTTGACTCGAAATTGAATTTTATCTATTTAATGCCGGGCCGTTGGTCGCTAGCTGCCGGCTTACCTCATCACCATTTAAGGCTATAGCGTATGCAATATTTATCTGTAACTTAGCCCTAGCCTAGGCTTAAGCTTAGCCATGTATGCTCATTAAGTGCGAGATATTCGTGCCGCGTGACTGTCAATGTCTATATAGGTACTACTACATTATATATAAGCACTTACGTATTGTATTCGGTTGCGTTTGAACTGATATTGATACACACTCTGATATAGCGTTAACTGAACTAAAGTCATCAATATGTGCGATGGCTCAAACTAACTAAATAGTAGTCTCTTCGAAAAAGCCAGAGACGCGATAATAAACTGTTGAAAAAAATATGGAAAGTTGTTTGTTTTCTTAAATAAGCAATAATGGGTTTGCTACTAATAATTATCCATCATAAAATATAAGACATAAAATATAAAAGTATTCATTATTCGTGCACAAGTCTTCAACTATGGATTACGTTTCAAAAATACTTACAAATGGCTAGTTTCAAAAATCAGTGATTAAACTATAAAAAAAAAAACACACACACAAATTTTTGTAAACCTTTGTTCAGTAAAATTAAGCAACAAAATAGTTTTCAAGCTTTTTAACAACTTTTTTATGGTGTGTCCAGATATGTGAGAATTTTCAAAGTACAACAGAGAAAAGAAGCTAGCTGCAGTTTAGTTCTTGAAACTTTTCACCGTCCCCCCTATAAATGTTGATAACTAAGTGGTTAGCTATATTCCTCACAGAGTCGGCCTCTTTTTCTTTATAGATAACTAAAAATTATTATTCCATTGGTCTATTACACTTATTCACAAGTTAACAAGGGACGTGCATAAAAATCGATATTTATATTTATATATTTATACACAATTTCCAACAATCAACGATACACACACACCTAGACACACATCCAATTTGAATGGAGGGGAAAGAGATACATGTGACAGCGAGAAAAAGCACAGCCAATGAGCATAAATAAACATTTAACACTCAAAAGCTTCTTAAAAACGTTATTAAATATTAATTTAATCAATATTCATTGTGTGACAGAGACTGAAACAGAAACATAAACACAGAAACCAAATGGTAAAAGAGATGCAAACGAAATCGAAATTCAAAATATCAAAATACGCGCATAGAAATCGCTTAAATTTCGTGTGTAATGGCCAATATGTCCAAATCGGGTTGATAACATCGACATTTTAATTATAACCAAATGAAGCCGCGCACACACATACAAAGCCATACATACATAGAGACCGTCAACCTTATGATGGGAAGGGGTGGTTAGGGGGACATAGGGAATGGGAATGGGAATGGGGACGGTGACGGTGACGGTGAGTGTCCGAGGGCTAACCGATTAAAAATGCAGAGTCAACTAAGCACATAAATCAATGTAAATTATGGTGTTAACAAAAGGCAAACTCGGCGCGTTCGGAACACCAAGCATTGGGAGACTGTTGGACTGGTTAAGTTTCTTAGTTCTGACTCCGGCTGGAGATTTAAATGAGTCGCTTGGAGTATGTTGTGCACTTCGGATCTGATAAGAGAGCGCTCTCTTCGCGTCGTTGTCGATACCTTAGATGACGCTCGGATGGGATCTTGTATGATGATGATGCTGCTGATGATGGTCCCATTTCTGATGCTCAATCTGAGCCATGCAAGCGTGCGCCCAATCACACACACACACACAGATATATATATATATATATACATTCAGTTTCAATTTGCTTGCGTCTTTATGAGCCTCTGTTTCCCCCGCCTGAGCTCCAGCTTCGTCTCCAACTCTTGACTTATTCTAATTTAGTGCTGGGGCTGGTCGCTGAGCATTCCTTTAATAAATTTAAATCACCTTCTATTGAAAATATTTTCACCTCTCTCGCCATAAATTATACCTACATTATACACGTACAATTGAGAGTGTGTATGTGTGTGTGTGTGTGTGTATTTGTTTGTATTGATATATTTATATATACATAAGTATTTTAGCAGGCAGTTCCTCGGGGTGTCTGCTTGTTGATTTCCAATTAGTTGGTCTGCAAGCATTTCAAGACTTGCGACATAACAATACACTCCTACTATGTATCCAGGTTTTTCCCCCCTTCCTGGTCGTGTCCTGGCACGCCCCTGACTACGTTGCGAGACCAGTCCATCAACATCAGGCGAACCCACAGACTCTGACAAAGTGGCGCTCTCATGAGCGCCATATAATCGCAGTCAAACATTTTTACGATCGCAGCTGCGATCGTCTGTTTCAGGATATGTGTTGTGTTTGTTTGTTGTTGTTGCCTGTTGCCTTTTGCTAGTTGCCAGTTGCCAGTTGCCAGTTGCGAGTTGTTTTGCTGTTTTGGGTTTTACAGTAAAATTGCTCAGAGCTGGGCAACAATGTTGGGAGATCTTTTCGCAAATTCTTCTGTTGATCACTGCGCACAGTTTTTATCGCTTGGGTTGGCTGAAATCGATGAACTTTACCCAGGCTCTGGCGAGTTCCACCTCTTCCTACCCGCCCCCAACCCCCTCGCTATCCTGTTGCCTTTCCCCCAGCGCTGCTTGAGGGTCCTCTCTCGCACCAGGGGCCCGGTGATAAATCTGTTGGGAACGCCGACACAACATTTCCATCTCATAGTCTTAAATGGACCATAAAAGCGCGAAATCACAACACGCGCAATAACTAAAGTTAGTTACGTTAACTAATGTATACAGCAACAATGTTGCATAGTGATCGCCCTAGCAGCCTGCCTGCCTGCCTGCCTACCAGCTTGCCTCACTGCCAGACCAGACAGTCACCTTGCCTTAGCTGACCATCGACCTCACTAGATCATAGAATTCTTGATGAGCAAACTATAAATGGAAGCTTGTGTTTTCTAAACTTATTGAAATGTTCACAGCTAAAAGTGCATTTGCTAAATTATAGTTGCTTATTTCAGCTTATAAATAATATCCACAACTAATTTTCAGTATCCTTGAAAGAAGCATGTGATCTGATTCACAAGGAATGCAAAAAAAATGAAGATGCTTCGGTTGAGTTTTGACAACATGTAAATTGTTTCCAACTTTAAATGTACTTTAATCTATATGCCATGTTTTTTTGAAAATCAGTAATTCTTTTGTATTTCCAACTTTAAATGTTGTTTTCATCTAGAGGATAACCATTAAAAATTAAATTTTTACAAAGTTAGGGCTTTGAAAAATTTTGACCTGCTTTGAAGCTGAATTATGTAAGGTCAAAAATGCATAGTGGAATTTATGAAAATTGCTATCAATTAAATGTTAAGAAGCAAATGATTAGTAATATTGAGCTATCTACATATTTTCCATATTAGTACGGGAGCTGTTTGACTTCTAGATTTTATGCGTGGGTAATTCAAACAGTTCCAGGCATTAGAACGAGCCGCCTTTTGTATTGGCAACAATAGTAATACTTCTAGCTCATGCTGACAAACAAATGTTTGATGCAGCCCCCGTTAAGGTCTCTGTTCCAGCTCAGAGATCGGAGCTGAGCTGCTGTTAATGAGCAAAGTGATTAAAATGTGTGCATTTGTATTTGTCCGCTCCTTAAATGAGCTCGCGCTTTCAACGCGTTGCGACCGAGTGATTTTGTCTCGTTGTCATCTCATTAGGAATCGGGCGATAAGACAAATTTGTTTTCTTTGTTTATAACTTTATGCAGATACAGGTTTCCATCTCACATACGCTGCCACGCAACGGGCATATCAGCGCCACTTAACAACCGACAATACATGCAAACTATAGGGTATCATTGGACCGATAACAGTCTACGACAGTATCAAGAAAGCGGCAAGAAAAGTTCGAGCGGTCGACCAAAAAAGAGTTATATATTTAATCTTTGTCGCTTTGGAGCAACAAGCTACAGCCACCACAAAAATGGAATGCTAAGCATTGATTTTGATTTTGAATTCAAAATGGTTTTGTTTTGTTTCATGTGTGTTGTGTTGTGTTGTGTGTGTCTTGTGTTTCACTGCGCTGTGGCGGCAGCTGCCTGACATCTTCATTAACGAGGAGTGTGATCAAAAGAGTAATGAGGTGTTGATAGTGCCCCAAAGCCAAAAAGACATTTTATGCATTCTCGTAAGTTTAATTAAGAATAGCAACGGCAACAGTCAGAATATAATAATCACATGCTCATAAGCAACAGCAGCACAACTTTGACTTTAAGACTACATTTTTAAACTGACACAAAGTTATTATTCTTGGCATCACTGAAATGATTCGCATTTTATAATTACTTCCATTAGTGATCGTTGTAGGTTCTTATAACGACAAGCATTATTTAAGAGAACAACACCAGTTTCGCTAATAAAATTCAAAAATAAAATTGATAAATGATGTATTATATTAGTCTCATCTTTATTTATCTCTATATATATTATAATGTTTGCAAATTTAATACTTTCGAGCTTTCATGTTTTTTTTTTTTGTTGTTATGGTATACGAAATCTTATCGCTCATATTTGTTCTAATCTATCATCGCTGTTTATTCTAATTTCCATAATTTCCTATTCATATTGTTTGCCTTTTGAAAATCTATAGAAAAACTTAAGAAAGATAAATAAATCAAATC